GTCGGGTCGCAGGGCGCCCGTGGCGGTCCAGGGTCATGCATGTATCATGTTCGACTCGGACGGGATGGGATGTGGCACAGCCGATTGCACGAATATGAAGCAGTGTCGGAGAAACGGGAAAGGGGAGGAAACTTGAGAAGAGACAGAGCGAGATGAGATCGCCTTGAAATCACACCGGTCGAGTCAAGGGAGTCACTTCTGAAGCTTCCTGCCCATCCTCGCGCTCAACCGGCGCAAGGAGATCTGGGGCGAGGACGCACACGAATTCAAGTGAGATCCCTTCATGCGGTCTTTGGGCTGCGTGCTGACAGCTGGGCAGGCCTGAGCGATGGGAACATATTCCCAAAGCGGTGGCAAGTGTGCCTGGTGTGTGGGGCAACCAGCTCACATTCATTGGCGGCCCGCGGGCGTGCATTGGTTACCGGTTTTCTCTTGTCGAGTGCGTCTCACTTGTAACCTCTCCTTATTCCGCCCTCGTGCCCATACCTCCTCCAGGACCAAGGCGCTGCTCTTCGCGCTTGTACGCGCCTTCTAGTTCGAGCTCGCTGTACCGGTTGAGAACATCAAGAGGCGGACCGGCATCATTACGACACGCCCCGTCATCACTGGACCCGACGGTAAAACCAAAGCGTCGCTCCCGCTGATTATTCGGCCATACAGAATGTAGTGCGCACAATTTGGGATGTGGAAGGCAAGCCATCTGGCGTGGCTAACGACATTGGATATCCGGTTCGTTGAAACATCGAGAATGCGACATGAGGACTTTTTTGAATGGAAATTTTATTTTGACACGAATGAAGGGCAGCGAGCAGGAGAGCAGCTGGGAGAGCAAGTACAACAATGCTAGTATCACTCTCCTCAAAAGTTTTGATTTGAATGCACTGGAGCGTGAAGACAAGTTCTGAAAGACTGAAGTACTGAAGATGAAGACTGTTTGTCGAAGAGCATGGCCCTTGTGGACAGTGTTGTCACTGACGGCCATCATGACCCGTCTGACACCTGGTGTCAGTCAAGCACAGGGTGGTAAGTGCAGTTTTTTTCTTGAGAAAACTCAGGCAAAAGCAGCTAAACCATCAGCAAAAAAATTACCCAATGATCTAATCTGGCCAAGCTAGATAGAGGCACCCATGAATATAAGTCAACCCACCCTGAGATTGTTATTGCCATAGTAGATAGAGCACCTGTATGATTTCTAAGGCTTACCAGCCTGGGGACCTTTATCATTCAGTTAAGGTTGGCAATGCATTACCAGGGAGCGCCAGGCTGGGTGGCATTTGCCAGAGAGCTCGCAAGATTTATTCAATAATCGGATTTTTGGGGGCGAGCTCGCACATAAAAAATTAAGATAGCAATTTATATATTCACAAAACTACAATAGGTACAAAACTCGTAGATAAAATACAACGGCATTCAGAGGGCAGCGCTTTCGCAGTGAATGTGAGCGTCAGACAAAAAGCTGTCCCCGGAGCGGCCGTATACTTAGTGCATGATGTGCGTGACTTGTACCCTAGACGAGTTATGCACATAAGTACCTGTGTATGTAGACACCTGCAGACTGCAATGCATACTGTGAGGATATTTCGCGGATCCCGAAGCACAAGAACGGGCCGTACAACCTGTAGGAGCAGTGTCAGTATTCGAGGTTTTAAAGACTGACTCAAAAAGACCTACGCCCCGTGAGTTGACGCTAACGCGCTCGCCGTTGCAAGACGGACCGGGCAGAGTCGTAGGTTGGGGTGCTGCGATACAAGTAGGCACCACTTACTGAACGAAAGGGCGATGTCTTACGAGGGCCTGTACATGAGAACATCAAGTAATCAAGCGCATATATGCATGTCACATACTCTACATGACACACTGAGAGCGATGCGGAAGGGTCCTGTGTCAGAGACGGATATATGCAGGATAATCTCAACAGACCTTGGATGCTCGAGCCGCCATCCCACATTGAAGAACCCTTGCAAACTGTATGGACAGGCAGGAGTCGGTGCTGCAGCTGTTGCGCGTACGAATACATGTAGTCAGGTGCGCTGCAGCACAAGAGAAAAAGTGCATATACATACGTTTGTGACATATTGAGCTTAGCGAGACACGGCGGAGATACCGTTCAGAGGGAGTAAGCAGAGGCGGGGTATGGTGGTGACCAGGAGGAAGAAGCGGCGAGAACGGAAGACCATCGACGCCTTCTATATATGCAGTTTCATAAAAGGAAACTCGTCGGGAGTGACTTTAGGGGAGGTCGAAGGAATCTTAGTGGGCAGACGGCGTGGATGCGATGGGCGGCGAGAAACACATCTCGGAAAGCGAGACGGGTGACGTCATGTCATAACCGAGATCTGGGCGAGCGACTCATGTCGTGTTTAGTGGTATCAGGATAGGATCCAACTTATAATAACATACCGGTCTGAGTTACGATTTGCAATGCAATACCAGTCAGGTATCGCGTGTCCTTGCATTGCCAGCGTTTGCCATCCTGTTAGGCGCTTGCCTGGCAACTCATCCCTGATCTATAACCAATTTTTTTGCTGATGACAAGGCCCAGTTATTCCTCAATTCTACGCCGATGCAAACTGAGGAGAAACTGGTGCAAAACCAGCCAAAATGGTCTAAAACACAGTAAAACTGGCGGAAAACTGAGTTTTGCCTTCGGTTGTTTTCAAGTGAAAACCGGAGAAAGTTGGGGCCTTGTTCAATCAGTTTTTGGCCAATTTTATGCCAGAAAAAAGTGCGCTTACCACCCAGTGAAGAGTCCGCTGACAGGTGTCAGTCTTACGGGGCTAATTTTATACTATTTTGCGCCGATAAAAGTGCAAAAGCACATTCAGTTTGTTTCATAAATGCACCTAAGCTATTCCCCCATGGGGATGTTATCGTTTTAGTGGTACAAAAAGATACACTGCTTTTACACCTTTTGAGATATTAGAAGAGTCGAAATCTCCTTAGGGAGAAATCATGATCATTTCTTTCTCCATGTGTATTATTCTATATATGGATGGCCGAGCGGTATTTGCACCTCTTTTTGCTGCGAGCAGACCAACTTTTTACTACAAGATTGACTAAAAAAAGGCAACTTTGTTTAACTCTTATTTTCAAATTTTACCTATCATATATTTACGCCGGAAAGTGTTCAGGCTAGTGTTGCCGTGGATTCAGATTCTATCCGGATAGAATCCGATCTGGTCTGATAGGTCGCCAATCTGTTCAATCCGGATGGGCGCGGATTCAAGCCGGATTGCAACCCACTCGGAGAATGCCGACTCAGGTGCCATCCATCAATTCTAGGTCAACGCAGTCACGCAAGACTGCACGAGAACGCATCACATCCATGGTAAGTGTTCCTCGTGTTTCGATTCATTGCCTGTAGCTGTGTTTGCCCCCTTTCACCTCTGTTATTTCCTGAGGTTGTTGCTAGAGTAACACAACAGATCAATATATGCATTTGAAAAAATCACACAAGACCTGATTACTGTACGAGCTACTGCCCAGGGACCAGGGCAGCCGGTATGTTTCTTTCAACTTGAAACAACAAGCAACTCAAGCCACACTTCACAGGTCAATAATCTGGCTCCCGAGTGTGAAGTACACAGTGCACTCTGCGTGTTTTTCTCTCTCTGGTGCTCAGCTATAATACATCAGGTGCAGCTGTGCCAAACAAGCCCACCGGTTCTCATTCTCAGCTTCAAACCCATGCTATGAGCCAGGCCCAGCAACGAGAAGACCCCATTAGCCGTCCCCACCTGCCTGTGACTCCCTACTGGCACCTGTTATGACAGAGGTTTCTTTGCAAGCCAGAAGCTTGTCTGATTGCCTTATCCACAGATGAGGTTAGAGCAGAATAAAGAAACGTGAATTTACGAAAGAGCTGAAAGCTGAAGTTGTACTGTACATGCACGGGGTATTTATACTACTGCTCAGCCTAACCTAAGGACTAGTCTACTAGTCAAAGGGACTGCGGGTGAGTCAGTGAAGCTGCGCTCTATGAGTCGGTGAAGGCAGTACTACTAGACTAGAGTCAGAGACAAAAATGGAAATGATATCCCATGCCACCATGTCCATCATAACATTACCCCCCAATCTACCTTCGAGCAACGGTCGAGATTAGTTAAGGGCCCAGATCTCCTCCTGAATCCATGCGACTGCCTCCTCGAGAGCCTTCTTGATGACTATGAGTGGTTTTGACTGCTTGTTGCGGCAGCAGCATTCGCGTTTGAGCTGCCTCTTCGAAACCTTCGCAGGAGTTGTCCAATCTGAGAGAGCGCTCGGGGACGTCCATCCAGGATCGTAATGATCGAGGGATTTGTGTTGGGTGGCGAAGCGGACCAACTTCTTGGTGGCAACATGGCTGTCAGACTCATACAATGGGGGAGACGGCGAGCTCGTCAAAGGGGATGGTTGGTCCCAAAAGGACCAAAAAAACTGGTTGGACACGAGAAAGGACTGGCTGAAAAACGAGGAGGTAATGCGTTCGGAGAGAGGTTGAGAATGAGTTGGCGTGGGGTTCAGCATGGGTTCAAAGTTGTTGATCAAGTAGGCGAAATGAATGGAGGGCCCGAATTGATAGCGATGGGCAGTGTTGACGATACGAACTGCCGAAGGGTGCGTTTCTGAGTAGTTAATGAAATCCCTCCACGCTTCTAGGTGTTCCACGTCTGTCCTCCCAATTTGCGTTCCTGAGTCTCGTGAGCCCTTCATCGTCAATGTGTACCAGGTCCGCAGCGTTGCGATGAGTGTTGGTGAAGTTTTTGTTGAGAGCGTGGAAACTCGCGACAGTCCTTGCAAATATCTTCGTGGGATTGTCTTCTTCCTGAGCAAGTTGCAAGAGGAGCTTGATGGCACTGTAGTCATTGCGGATTTCGGTGAGCTGTTGGAGGTAAGTGGTCTTGCGGTACTTTCGCTCGACTTCTTCTGCGCTAGCGTTGCTCCAGTCCCAGTGGGACTCTGAGTGTTCATTAACGGGGATGGTGCTCTCATGGGAGACTGGAGTGGGTGTGCGAGATTGGGCAATTTTGGGGGCATGGTAGGAGTCGCTCTCCGAGACATTGGCGTCGTAGGTATACTGGACGTTGGGGAGGTTGATAGAGGAAGGGCTCCGGATGTGGATCTGCGAGGTGGACTCGGTGAGAGTGGAGACGGGGATGCACTCGTAGACGGTGGTGAGAGTGGAAGACATTGTGTTGTGGAGAGGCGAGGCTGGTTTGGAGACTTGAGACTTGTTGTAGCTGTGACTGGGGTTGTCTTGGCTGGAGAACGAACAGGCAGATTATGCCTCCTTTTATATGCATTCAGAATATCTTGGGCATTCTTTAGATGAGACTCAGGTTTCCAGGAGTTCTCTGCTTGTGGCTGTTCTTTCCACTTGACGAGGTATTGGACATAGCCATAGAATGTCTTGTGATTGAGTATCGCCTCGACTTCGTGTTCTTCATAGCTGTTGATGATCTCTGGGGGCTGTTCTAGGAAATTGGGGCCGTGTTGCTCGGTTTCATGATACAGGGTGAGAAGCGAGGCGTGGAAGACATCATGAAGTTTTCGTTGCCCTCGAAGATTGAGTTTGTATACCAAAGATCCTAAAACCTCCTTGATTCTGAATGGTCTCTGACGTTTGGGTGCGAGCTTCTTGAAGGGGTAACCATCTCGGAAGTTTGTCATCTCAAGCCAGACTTTTTGTCCCTTCTGGAACGGTGAAAACTTCCTGTAAGCTCTTGAGGCCATGCAATGCTGTGCTTGGTCTAAGGCAGTGTGGGCCTCTTCATGTGCGCGAGTCCGTTCTAGAAGCCATTGTTGTATTGACGAAACCTTGGTCTTGGGAAAGGCTGTGGGGATGATCCTTGGGTGTGAGCCATACATGAGATAGAATGGCGAATGCTTTGTGGCGCTGTGTTCTCGATTGTTGAACGCCACTTCCATATTGGGAAGAAGCTGTGCCCAGCTGTGCGGATTGTTCTGGCAGAAAATTCTGATGTACGCTTCTATCTCTTGATTGGCTCTTTCCGTTTGACCATCGGTCTGAGAATGGTATGCGGTGCTCATTCGTCCTTGTACTCCGGTTAGCTTCCACAATTTTCTCATGACTTGAGAGTCGAATTGCGGACCCCAGTCCGTGAGAAAGACGTCTGGTAGTCCAAATCTTTGGTAGACATATTGATGGTAGAGTTTGGCTGTGCCTAGCGCGTCTATCTTCTCTGTGCAAGGGCAAAGAATTACCCCCTTCATAGAACCATGGTCTACCACAACCATTTGAGCATTATATCCGTGAGACGCCTGGAGATGGGTGATGAAGTTGCAGGTTGTGAACGCGAATGGACGGTTCTGTCGAGTGGATTTGATTGGTTGAAGGGGTGGAATAGTTGGTTGATGATTAACCTTCATTTGTTGGCATTTTGTGCAACCTCGGACATAGTTTGAGATGAAGGTTTGCATGCTTGGCCAGAAATATTCGCGTCGGATGAGTTCTCCTGTTTTCCATTGTCCAGGATGTCCTGCTCCAGGGAAATCATGATAGAAGAATATGATGTGGCGTCGGAGTACTTGATTTGCTGGTATATAGCATTGTTCTTTGTAAAAGAGTAGTCCGTCTCTTTCTTCCCATTGATCCGTGTTCAACTTGAAAGGAAATGTGTCTGTTTTTCCTAGTCATGCTGATCGTACTTGTTCAGTGATGTCGTCATGTGTAAGGTGTTTTTGAATATCTTCTGCCAACTTATAGTCTACACTTGAAGTGGGTGCTTCGATTTCGATGTCCAAGATGATTGCATCTTCTGTGAATAATGAATCTGGTAGGAGAATTATGGCGACAAATTTGTCCTCAGGTAGTAACACTTCTTCTGTATTATCAAATTTTGCATCAGCTGGTGCAGAGGTTCTTGTCATAGCGTCTGCTTGAATGAGTCTAGTGCCTGCATGGTGTTCAAGTTTGTAATTGAACTGGGACATGAATAGTTACCATCTTGCTTGTTGTCTATTCAATTGTTGTAGAGATCGGAAGTACGTGAGGTTCTTGTGATCTGTGAGGATTTTCGTGGTGCTTGGATTTCCTTCTAGGTAGTGGCGCCACGCTTCGAGCGCTTGTACTATTGCCAGTAATTCTCTATTATAGATTTCGTAGTTGCGTTCTGCTGGGTTGAAGGATTGGGATAGGTAGGCAACTGGTAGCCAATCTCCGTTGATATCCTGTTGTCGGAGTACTGCTGCTGTTGTGAAAAGTGAGGCGTCTGCTTCAATGAGGAATGGCTTTGTGGCGTTCAGCATCAATAGAAGAGGCGCTGAGGTAAATCATTGTTTTAGCGTCTCGAAAGCCTTCTGACATTTGTCTGTCCAATTGAACGGCTTGTCTTTTTTGGTGAGTTCATTGAGTGGCTTTGCAATGTCTGAATATTGGTCAATGAAGCATCGATAGAAATTGCCGAATCCTAGAAATCCTCGAACTTGTTTGACAGTGGTTGGTATCGGCCAGTCTAGTATTCCTTTTATCTTGACTGGGTCCATGGCGACTTGATTGTGTGATACGAGTGCTCCGAGGGATTCGACTTGCCATGCATCGAAGGTGCATTTCTCGAGTTTGAGGAAAAGGTCATTGTCGCGGAGCCTTTGAAGGATTCTTCGTGTTCACTTTCTATGTTCATCTTGATCGGATGAATGGATAAGCATGTCATCCATATAGATGACTAGCCATCCTTCATTGACCATGTCACGGAATAGGTCATTCATCATTGCTTGGAACGTTGCCGGGGAGTTGCATAGTCCGAAGAACATGACTGTTGGTTTGAATAGTCCTCTGTTCGTTTTGAAGGCTGCTTTCCATTGATCTCCATCTTTGATTCGTACATTGTTGTATCCTGCTTGTAAATCAAGCTTAGTAAATATGCTTGACCCTTTGAGTTGATCAACGAGGTCTGAGATGAGAGGAAGTGGGTATGTGTTTTTGATAGTGCCATCGTTCAAATACCGGTAGTCTTGGCATGGTCGTAATGTTTCGTCTTTCTTTCCTACGAAGAAGAATGGTGAGGCCATTGGTGATTTTGATGGTCGTATGTAGCCTTTTTGCATATTCTCATTGAGGAATTTGTCGAGTTTCTGTTGTTCTAATGGAGATAACGGATAGACCTTGCAATCTTTAGGGATGAAATCTGGTTTTCAGGTCAATAGCATGGTCGTATGATCTTGATTTTGGAAACCGTTCAGCTGCTTGTTTTTCAAAGACATCTTAATAGTCTTGATAAGCAGTTGGTAGTTTGTTCTTCATATTCTCTGTTGCCTGTTGTGCCATTGCCATTGCCAGGTTGATTTTCGTGTTAATCCATAAAGATGCTATGTCTTTGGCCATTTCATCTGGTTCGGTGCGCATGGTGTATGCGAAGGAGTCTCCTGGAGTGTATGCGAGGATATAGTCTCCTTCTTCACATTGTTCAGCTTGTATGATGGGTTCTAAGGCAATTATCAAAGAGATGTGTATAGACCAGTCCAGAGGTGCTCCTTTCCTGAGAAGATGCAGTACGTGCCAGGCTATCTTTTCTGGTCTGGTTTCTTGTATGGTTTTGGTATTGGTGGATCCAAACCCTTTTGATCCTCGTTTATTTCCTGGTAAGGTTTCGACCTGCTTGGGTTTTGCCATAGAGATTCGTTCGAGTACTAATTGCACCACTCGATCTCCTTTGACGACCTTGTGTTCTTCGATTTTGGAGTTGATGAGGAGTATGCAAATTTCTCCAGTATAGTCTCTGTCAATTACTCCTGCTCCTATGTTGATTCCCTTGACTGCTAGTCCGCTTCTTGGTGTGATTCGTCCATAGGTTCCTTCAGGAACTTGAGCGCTTAGCCCTGTTTTGATAAGCATGCGAGATTGAGGTGGTATTATCTGGTCTTCGCTTGCATATAGATCAAGTCCTGCGGCTTCTTCTGTTCCTCTAGTGGGTATTTGTTCTCCTTCTGAGATAGTGACTGCAAATTCTGTTTCTTCTCTAAGGAGTGCTGAGTCGTTGGACGGAAGAGTATTGATGCTTTTTCCTTCATTATCCGGTAATTCCTCGATTTCGCATCTTTGAATTCTTTTTGAGAAGCCTAAAGTGCCTTTGTTCCAGTTGATGGACGGGTTTCTTTCTTGTAACCAGTCCATGCCGAGGATAATGTCTTGTTTGCCTAATTGGGTAACTAACAATCTTTCTTTGGTAGGTTGGTTTCCCACGTTCATGTCAATTTCGACTTTGTTGCGAATGAACCCCAATTTGTTCGGGGTTCCGTCAACATTGAATACCTTGATCAGTTTTTTCAAGGGTTTTTCTTGTAGTCCTAACTCCCGGACTGTTCGTCGATTGATGAATTTGCCTTGTGCTCCTGAGTCGACTAGTGCAAGGACTTTTCCAACGGTTTCTTTCACTCTGATTTGGATGGGAATACACATCGATTTTGATTGCATGTCGGCAATTAATACAGAGGAAATTGATATTCTAAGAGGCGTTGACGTTGGAACAACCCTCAGACATGAAAATCCGGATTAGCTTCGAGGTAATGGGCGAAGAGATCCTTAGCATTGTCCTGAGAGAGTTTGGTTACTTCTTTGACCAAATCTCTGGGTTCGTTATTGAGATCAATGAGGTTGAGTTCCTCTCTGACCATTGTGGTGCGGACATTGGTGGAATTTCCTTTATTCCATTGTTCTGAACATTGGTTTGTCTGAGGGCGGTTGCCCTGTTGCAAGCGATTGGGTTGGTATCTTTCTTGCTGGTCGCGTTGCTGAGGTTTCTTGGGCGAAGGGCAATTTCTGGCAATATGTCCTTTGCCTTCGCAATTAAAGCATGGTCCTTCTCGATGTGTTTGGTCTCGGGAGACGGTGTCGATATCTATGGCATCGGGGTCGCGTTCCTGAGTTCTCCCTCCTCCTCTATTTCCTCCGGAGTGAGAGGTAGTTTTGCCAATCCTTCCTCTGTCTTCCTCGTCTGAGCTTGTCCCATTCTATCTCTGCATTGTCCAATTTGAGTGCTTCTTCTTGCCATCTTTGGAGTGTGGTTGGCTTCTTTTCTCGTTGGATGAGAGTCTTTGCAAGGACGGATTTGAGCCCTCCTGTATAGGTGCATTGGAGATAGGTGTCTGTGCTCGGGTTGTTATACTTGGCTTCTTTGACAAGTTGATTAAATTCGATGTTGTAGTCATTGACTGAGTCAAAGTCTGCTTGCATAATTCTGTCGAGTTTTACAATGGCATCGACTTCACTGTCCACTTTTTGGAAGGCTTTGGCAAAGTCTTCCTTGAATTTGGTCCATGTGGGCCAAGCCATGCTGGTTTCGTATTTGTCGAACTTGGTGCGACACCAGTTGTGTGGCTTCTTTTCGGTGTTGTTGAGTACAAAGAGAATTTTCTTTGCATCCTTGGTTGTGTCTTTGCCTTTAAAGTAGATGTCGCAATCTTTCAGGAAGTCCTGAATTTGTTGTGTGCCATCGAACTTCTGGGGTTTTGGGGTAGAGGCATGTTCATTTGCTTTTTGAAGTGCCTCGATCATTTCTCGCATGAGAGTATTTATGTCTGCCATCGTAGAGGTGGTTTGAAGTTGTCTGGTGACTTCGTATATTTCTTCCTGTCGTTCAGGTGGGATGGGTACGTCGAGATTTGGCAGGGGAATGTCAAATGGTTCGAGTCTAATTTCTGCTACCTGAAGTGATCCTTGTTGTTGTACTTCGGGTGTTTCGTTGTCTACTTTGATAGAGGTAGAGGTTTCTGCCCTACTGGGTGCTCGGCTATGTCTGCGAGATTGATCGTATGGGTGTGATGTATGTGGTCTGGATGGTGGTACGCTGGTGGGTAGTTGAGCTACTTGTTGGGCTTGTTCTTCTCTAAGCCTGGCTTCTTCATTAAGCCTGTCTCTTTCTCGAATAAATTCTTCTTGTGCTGGTTCGCAGAGGACGAGTCCTTGTGGTACTCGTACTGTTCCTGGGTATGCATAGTATCGGTTGGGGCAGAGTTGTTGAAAACAATGTCTCCAGTGTCCTTCGTCGTATTGGTTGTAGTCGTGCCTATTGTCAGGCCTAAGGTCATGTCTGTGTGCTGCTGTGGCGCAGTTGTTCACCCCAGTTGCTTGTGGAGTAGTCGTCTTGACTATTCTTCGTGGCGTAGACCTGTCTTAGGTCCGCCTTGTTGAGAAGCTTTCAGCTAATGTTATGACAGAGGTTTCTTTGCAAGCCTGAAGCTTGCCTGATTGCCTTATCCACAGATGAGGTTAGAGCAGAATAAAGAAACGTAAATTTACGAAAGAGCTGAAAGCTGAAGTTGTACTGTACATGCACGGGGTATTTATACTACTGCTCAGCCTAACCTAAGAACTAGTCTACTAGTCAAAAGGACTGTGAGTGAGTCAACGAAGGCAGTACTACTAGACTAGAGTCAGAGACGAAAATGGAAATGATATCCCACACCACCATGCCCATCATAACAGCACCACTCAGCCTATCCGCACCTACTTCAACCTGCCGGTCCACATCTTCACAGTCAGCTCTCTCCTTCTGTTTTAGCTGCACTGACACCTCAGAACCCCGGGCCGGCTGTCTCAGTGTCAGCCCAGTCGCCTCCGCAGCCAGTACAAGCACCGAAGCGGAAATGCAGACGCAGTGAGGGCGCAGCACTGCCGTCAAATCAATGCATCAATCAGCCAGCTGCACAAATATCTGAGCATCGCACAGAAAAGCAAAGCATATGCTGTCGCAATGGGTGAGCGCCATATTTTTCTTAATGGAAATTCGTCGTACCAAGCCTTTTTTTCAGTTGTACACCCTGATTTCAAATTTACCTGGATAGACAAGCACTGGACAGCCAAGGAGGCTACGGATGCCCAGCGCTGGCTTCAAGAAGCGGTGCGTAGATCTCGTTGCACATATACGCTAAACTTACTCCTGGGTGTATTACTTATTACTGCTTGAATATTGGTGAGAGCTTTGTTCTTCACAGTCCAATCTTCCCCCCAGTGGCCCGTCTCCACCATCATCTCAGAGTTTCACAGCTCGCTCACAGGCTCACGGTGTAGGCTGCATCTGCGCATTGCTCCGAGAACTCTCTGATGAGTCTGTAAGCACCTCAGCTACAGCTTAAAGGAGCAGTGTACAGTCCGAGGCAGCCACCATCGAGCCAGATGTCGATAATAGTCACATTTTGGAGGCAGATTATGCCCACACTGTTGAGGAAGAGGCAACTCGGTATGAGAAGGAGGGTGCTCTCCCTGACACTGAAACAGGGCCGGGCTTTGATATCTGTCACACCTGGCAGGTACGTCACTGCAGTGCGTTATCTTACTGTTGCTCACTACATTACAGGTCAATCAATATCACTTTCCTCTGATCTATCACGTCACACTGGATATCCTGCCTGTGCAAGCTTCTGCTGTCCTGTGCGAGCGCGTCTTCTCATCAAGCAAGGAGATGGATACTCTCTGAAGGATTAATTTGTCCCCCAAAGTGATGGAAAGGCTTCAAATTCTGAAGCATTTGTATCTGCAGCAGCGCAGTGAAAGGCAGCCGGCTGGCTTCCAAGGGTGATCTGGCACCGGCAGTCTCAGTAGAACAAATTGATAGAATGGTTGCAGAAGGCCATGTGGACGAACTAGAGAAGCTATTAATGAGACTGAATCCTAATAATCTACTAATACGTCTGCTACGCTGTCCCCACTTGAGCCTCGCCAGTCTCCGTCTGCTCAGTGAGTTCAGGTGCCTACCATATATAGTGTCTTTGTCAGCTTTCCCACAACCTGCCGGATTATCTGGCGGCCAACTCATCATTATCCGCCACGTGCGGATAATGCCGGATTTTGGACCGGTCCAACTCGTGGCTCATCCGCGGCAACACTAGTTCAGGCTTTTTAGCTTCTTTTCTCACGGACATTTTCGTACCTCTGTCAGCTAAAAATATTTACCAATTAGCCCCGTGTCTGACGCTGACAACACTGCTTGTGGAGATACATCAACGTCATGCCCTTACGTTAGGTTTGAGCGCGCGCAACAGAACGGAGAATGTTGAACCTGCAACATCTCCGTGCTGTTTGAAGTTTGGGACATCGGTCCTAGGGCTCGCATATATAAATTTCATCTTCGTCGACATGGCCTCTTTGAACGGCTTTTAAACAGCCAACATTCGCCATGGATCTCCTGCTCATCGTCTACGCCATCGGAGTCCTCATCGCGCTCGCCCTGTACAAGCTCACATCGTTTATGTGGAGCAGAATCGCATCGCCTCTCCGACACCTCCCTGGTCCCCCAAATGACAGCTTGATTTGGGGAAACGTGGAAGTGATACAGAAGGAAGAGGAATCAGTGCCTCAGGACCGATGGGCTCAGCAGTACGGACACACGATCGCCTACCGTGGACTCTTTAGCGTGCGTGTCCACACCGTCTGCTCATTGTCACAATTTCCTGACAATCCTGTGACCAGACGAAGCGCCTCTGGACGGTGGACACCCGTGCGCTGAACCACATCATGACGCACCATACCATCTACCAGCGTCCGCCGGCCGTCAGGTATGACTTTTCGCGCCTTGTCGGCTCCGGCATATTCGTGACCGAAGGTGCGCTACCCCTCGCGCCGTTCCCTTTTGCATTCTTAATGGGTCCACTCCACAGGTGATCAGCACAAGCACCAGGTGTGCCACACCACCTTGATACCATCCGCCCTAGCTAACTGTTGCCCAGCGCCGCGTGCTTAACCCTGCCTTTGGTCCCGCGCAGATCCGCGATCTGACCGAGATCTTTACGGGAAAGTCGAACCAGTTGCGGGACTGCTGGCTGGAGAAGATATCCAAGAACGGCGGCGCGTCTGCGCAGGTCAATGCGCTCTCGTGGCTCGGCCAAGCGACGCTGGATATCATCGGCCGTGCGGGCTTCGGGTACGAATTCGACGCGCTTAACCCGACGGGAGAGATCAACGAGCTGAGTGAGGCGTTCTCGAAGCTCTTCGCGACACCCCCACGAAGTCGGCGTTTGTTCTCGTTCCTGCAGTCGATCATCCCGCTGCTGCGGCTCATCGTGCGTCTCTGTGTGCTCTTCCGGCGTGGGGGCACATTGCTGACGGGGAGTGGTACTATAGAAAACGGAGAACGACCGCAAGTCTGAGCAGTCGCAGGCAACCATGCGCCGCATTGGTATGCAGCTCATCCGGGAGAAGAAGGCGGCGATCATGACAGAGACCCTCGAGAAGGGCCGGGGAGTCGAACGCAAGGATATTAGAGAGCGCGACCTGCTCACGCTTCTCATTCGCGCAAACATGGCGACGGACATCCCCGAGGACCAGCGGCTGACCGATGACGAGGTCCTTGCGCGTGCGTGTCTCACTCAATTCCGTGCACTCAGAAGACTAATTTGTGTCTCTTGCAGAGGTCCCGACGTTCATTGTCGCTGGCCACGAGACGACGAGCACGGCGACGACCTGGGCGCTGTTCTCGCTTTCACAGCAGCTCGATATGCAACGGAAACTGCGCGCGGAACTGCTGCAGGTGGCCACGGACAGCCCGACGATGGACGAGCTGAACGCGCTGCCGTACCTGGACGCAGTCGTGCGCGAGACGCTGCGGCACCACGCGCCAGTGCCGTCGACGTCGCGCCAGGCGTTCGAGGATGACGCCATCCCAGTGGACGCGCCATACAAGGACAGGTACGGCCGGGTGCGCGAGCACATCGAGATCAAGAAGGGCGACCTCATCTTCTTGCCTATCATGTCTCTGAACCGGCGCAAGGAGATATGGGGCGAGGATGCGCATGAGTTCAAGTGTGTTCCCGTTTTCCATGTGTTCACTGAGCTGCGTGCTGACAGTTAGGCAGGCCTGAGCGATGGGAACACATCCCCGAAGCGGCGACAAGAGTGCCTGGTGTTTGGGGCAACATGCTCACATTCATTGGCGGGCCGCGGGCGTGCATTGGTTACCGGTTTTCTCTTGTCGAGTGCGTCTCACTTGTAATTCCCCCTTATCCCGCCCTCGTGCCCATACCTTCTCCAGGATCAAGGCGCTGCTCTTCGCGCTTGTACGCGCTTTCGAGTTCGAGCTCGCTGTACCGGTTGAGAACATCAAGAGACGGACCGGCATCATTACGACACGCCCCGTCATCACTGGACCCGACGGTAAGACCAAAGCGTCGCTCCCGCTGATTATTCGGCCATACAGAATGTAGTGCGCACAATTTGGGATGCGGAAGGCAAGCTATCTGGTGTGGCTAACGACATGGGATACCTGGTTCGTTAAAGCATTGAGAATGCGACATGAGGACTTTTTTGAATGGAAATTTCATTTTGACACGAATGAAGTGCGGCGAGCAGGAGAGCAGCTGGGAGAGCAAGTACAACGATGCTAGTATCCTTCCCCGAAAGTTTTCGATTCGAATGCACTGGACCGTGAAAACAAGTTTTGAAAGACTGAAGATGCAGGCCGTTTGTTGAAGAGCGCGGCCATTGTGGAGATACTTACATCGAAGGAGACTAATGTGGTTGCCGTGCCCCTACGTTAGGGTTGAGTGCTGCACGACAAGTGTGACAAGTCTCGGCTGGTGCTTGCATCCCCTGCAACATCTCTGTGCAGTTTCAAGTTTGAGCGTACGTTTGAGACATGGTCTTAGAGCTCGCATATATAAGTGTTATCTTCGTCGACATGGACTCACTTAACGGCTATCCTACAACTAACATTCGCCATGGACTACCTGCTTATCGTCTATGCCATCGGGGCCCTCGTTGCGCTCGGCCTCTACAAGCTCGTATGGCTCGTATGGAGCACAAGCACATCCCTTCGACACCTCCCAGGTCCGCCAAACGAGAGCTTGCTCCGGGGAAACTCGAAACCTATAGAGAGCGAAGAGGACTCGGTGCCTCAGGATCGATGGGTTCAGCAGTACGGGCACACGATCGCCTACCGCGGACTCTTTAGCGTGCGTGTTCACATTGTCTGCCCAGTGTTACAGTTTCCTGACGATCCTGTGATAAGATGAGGCGCCTCTGGACGATGGACACCCGTGCGCTGAACCATATCATGACGCACCATAACATCTACCAGCACCCGCTGCACGCCAGGTATGGGCTGTCACGCGTTGTTGGCCCTGGTGTCCTTATGGCCGAAGGTGTGCGTCCACTGTCGCCTCTCATTCCGTTCTGTTCGCATTCTCAATGAGTTAACTTTACAGGTGATCAGCACAAGCACCAGGTGTGCCACACCACCTTGATACCGTCCGCCCTAACTAACTGTTGCCCAGCGCCGCGTACTGAACCCGGCCTTTGGCCCCGCGCAGATCCGCGAACTCACGGAGATCTTCACGGACAAGTCGAACCAGCTGCGGGACTGCTGGTTTAGAGAGATCTCCAAGAACGGCGGCGCGTCTGCGCAGGTGAACGCGCTCTCGTGGCTTGGCCAGGTAACACTGGACGTCATCGGCCGCGCGGGCTTCGGGTACGAATTCAACGCGCTCAACCCGGAAGGGGAGACCAACGAGCTGAGTGTGGCATTCTCCACGCTCCTCTCGGTGCCCCAGCAGGAGCGGCGTTTCTTCACGTTCCTGCAAGTGATCATCCCGATACTGCGGCTCATCGTACGTCTCTGAAGGCTATTCCAGCGTGGGAACTCGCCGCCGACGGGGGGAAATGTTATAGAAATCGGAGAACGACCGCAAGGCTGAAGAAGCACAGGCGACCATGCGCCGCATTGGCATGCAGCTCATCCGGGAGAAGAAGGCGGCAATCATGGCAGAGACTCTCGAGAAGGGCCGGGGCATTGAACGCAAGGATGTGAAGGAGCGCGACTTGCTCACGCTCCTCATTCGCGCAAACATGGCAACAGACATCCCTCAGGACCAGAGACTGACTGACGATGAGGTCCTCGCGCGTAAATGTCTCACTCACTTTCTGTGTGTTCAGAAGAAGACTGACCCGTGTCTCTTGCAGAGGTCCCGACGTTCATTGTCGCCGGCCATGAGACGACGAGCACGGCGACGACCTGGGCGCTGTTCGCACTCGCCCAGTGGCCCGAAGTGCAACACAAACTGCGCGCGGAGTTGCTGCAGGTGGCCACGGACAGTCCGACGATGGACGAGCTGAATGCGCTGCCGTACCTGGACGCGGTCGTGCGCGAGACGCTGCGGCGCCACTCGCCGGTGCCGGCGACGATGCGTGCGGCGGTCGAGGACGACGTCATCCCCGTAGGCACGCCGTACACGGACAGGTACGGCCGGGTGCGTGAGCACATCGAGATCAGGAAAGGCGACCTCATCTTCCTTCCCATCCTGGCCCTGAACCGGCGCAAGGAGATCTGGGGCGAAGATGCGCATGAGTTCAAGTGTGTTCCCGTTTTTACGTGTCCACTGAGCTGCGTGTTGAGATCTGGGTAGACCTGAGCGTTGGGAGAACATCCCCGAAGCGGCGGCAGGTGTGCCCGGTGTGTGGGGTAACCAGCTCACATTCATTGGCGGGCCGCGAGCATGCATCGGCTACCGGTTTTCTCTCGTTGAGTGCGTCTCAGTTGCGATCTCTTCTTGTTCCGCTCTCATGCCCATACCTCCTCCAGGACCAAGGCGCTGCTCTTCGCGCTTGTACGCGCTTTCGAGTTCGAGCTCGCCGTCCCGGCTGAGGTTATCAAGAAGCGGACCGGCAGTATCACGACACGCCCCGTTATTACTGGACCCGATGGTAAGACCAAAGGGTCGCTCCCGCTGATTATTCGGCTGTACAGAGCGTAGTGCACACGGTATGGGATGCGGAAGACAAGCTATCTGAGCGTAGCTAGCGACATTTGGATACTTGGTTCGTGTATGTAGCCTGCTCCTTGCAAACTTACCACTTCAAGGCTCCGCTTGTGTAACATTAGTTTGTCTGTTTCTTCGCCTCGCTTTCGTTGATTCTCTTGGCCTACGTTCACCCGCTGTACTTGTACATAGACCCGCCATTCGCGCACTTCAGCGATACAGCGCGGTCCCGACATTTCGTGCGACCGCGTGCGCTCTCAGTGCTCCTTACTTGGCCAGCAAGATTTCAGCTCGTTGAAATATTCGGAATGCAATACAGCGACTTTGGGAGAAGAAGTGTCCTATTCACAAGGGGGAACTGGACTAACCCTAACCCTAACGACAGGCACGAAAACTCGCCGTTCCGGCTCCGATTAGCTTGCAAACCGCTGTCCGAACGGAGCATTACCAACTTAGTTGCAGGCAGAGCGAGCACAGCTCGCGGCGGAAATTTGCGTAGCGGCTGCTCGATGACTCCAGGCACCTTACACCAGCGATTCGGAGACGACAAACAATCATGCATCCGGGACGGCGTCTGAAGGCGTGTCTGCTCGGCAACGCTACATCGGGCCGAGCGCTGGCTGCGCACGTATCCTAGGGATATGCATTGACTGCTATATAAGTCCTGCCGTCGTCCACACCGGCTTCCTCAACAACCAACACTCACCATGAGCTACTCGATGGTCTTGTACGCCGTCGGCGTTCTCGTCGCGTTTGCTCTCTACAAGTTAGTGCCGCACGTATACGGTATACTCACATCGCCCCTTCGACATCTCCCTGGCCCGCCGACCGAGAGCTTGATCTGGGGAAACATGGAGCTCATACAGAGGGAAGAAAACTCGGTGCCTCAAGAACGATGGGTGCAGCAGTACGGGCCTGCCATTGCCTACAAAGGCGTCTTCGGCGTATGTGTCTCCATCATCCGCCCAGTGTATACTGACGACTCTCCACTAGATGTGGCGTTTGTGGACGGTAGACACCCGTGCGCTGAACCATATCATGACGCACCATACCATCTACCAGCGTCCGCTGCCCGCCAGGTACGGGATCTCCCGCGTTGTTGGCCCCGGTGTCCTCGTGGCTGAAGGTGCGTACTTCCCCTCACGCCATCCCGTCCATATTCTCACCAGAGCTATTCTACAGGTGAACAGCACAGGCGCCAGGTGGGTTATACTCAGCTTGTTGCCAATCACTGTAGCTAAACACCCCACAGCGCCGCGTGATGAACCCTGCTTTCGGCCCGGCGCAGGTTCGCGAACTCACGGAGATCTTCACGGAAAAGTCGAACCAGTTGCGGGACTGTTGGCTCGGGGAGATATCCAAGAACGGCGGCGCGTCTGCGCAGGTGAACGCGCTCCCGTGGCTCGGTCACGCGACACTGGACATCATCGGCCGCGCGGGCTTCGGGTACGACTTCGATGCGCTCAACCCGACGGGGGAGACCAACGAGCTGAGCGAGGCGTTCTCCACGCTCTTCACGGTGCCCCAGGGAAATCGGCGTTTCTTCGCGTTCCTGCAGGGGAGCGTTCCCCTGTTGCGGCTCATCGTGCGTTTTTTGCGTGCTTTTTCTGCATGAGAACGCGCTGCTGACAGGGAGTGATACTATAGAAAACAGAGAACGACCGCAGGGCTGAGCAGTCGCAGGCAACCATGCGTCGCATCGGTATGCAGCTCATCCGGGAGAAGAAGGCGGCGATCATGGCAGAGACCCTCGAGAAGGGCCGGGGCGTCGAACGCAAGGACATAAGGGAGCGCGACCTGCTCACACTCCTCATTCGCGCAAACATGGCGACGGACATCCCCGAGGACCAGCGACTGACCGACGACGAGGTTCTTGCGCGTGCGTGTAACACACGTGCTTCGCGTACCGTCCATAAGACTGACCTGCGCCTTCCACAGAGGTCCCGACGTTCATCGTCGCCGGCCACGAGACGACGAGCACGGCGACGACCTGGGCGCTGTTCTCGCTCACTCAACGGCCCGACGTGCAGCGCAAGCTGCGCGAGGAGCTGCTGCAGGTGGCCACGGACAGTCCGACGATGGACGAGCTGAACGCGCTGCCGTACCTGGACGCAGTCGTGCGCGAGACGCTGCGGCACCACTCGCCGGTGCCGGCGACGACACGCGAGGCGTTCGAGGACGACGTCATCCCGGTGGACACGCCGTACATGGACAGGTACGGCAGGGTGCGCGAGCACATCGAGGTCAAGAAGGGCGACCTCGTCTTCCTGCCCATCCTCGCGCTCAACCGGCGCAAGGAGATCTGGGGCGAGGACGCGCACGAATTCAAGTGAGGTCCCTTTCTTCATGTGGTCTTTGGGCTGCGTGCTGACAGCTGGGCAGGCCTGAGCGTTGGGAGCACATCCCCGAAGCGGCGGCAAATGTACCTGGTGTGTGGGGCAACCTGCTCACGTTCATTGGCGGGCCGCGGGCGTGCATCGGCTACCGGTTTTCTCTCGTCGAGTGCGTCTCACTTATGATCTCCCCTTATCCTGCTCTCTGCTCTCATGCTCATGCCTCTTCCAGGACCAAAGCGCTGCTCTTCGCGCTTGTACGCGCCTTCGAGTTCGAGCTCGCCGTCCCGGCTGAGAGCATCAAGAAGCGCAGCAGCATCACGACGCGCCCCGTCATCACCGGGCCCGATGGTAAGTCCAAGGGCTCGCTCCCGCTTATTATCCGGCCGTACAGAGCGTAGTCGCTGTGGCGCACGGGATCCGGGATGTGGAAAACAGAATGTCTGGGTACAGCTAGCGATATTGGACACCTGGTTTGTTAAGATATTTAAAATAAGCTGTTTAAAAAGCGGCACAGGGACTTCGTTGGGTAGAAGTGTCGCGTTGTAATAGCGTATTCGCCTGTATCGATAGGTCCTCCTTCCTCTGCAGCAAGGATTGAGTCAACTCTGACCCTAATGGCAGGCATGACAGTGTTTGACGCGATACGACATTAGCTCAATATTTTGACGCGGGCTACAGTGTGTCGCGAAGCTAACCGCAATACTGGAAGTGTTACGAGAACTGCTATTATTCGACAGCGAACAGAAGTGCCAGGGGTCTTCCGAGGTCCCAGGGTCCTGAAGACCAGTTACAGGCACGAGGACATTTGACGCGATACACTATTAGCTCAATATCCTGCTCGGATAGCCCTTGGGGTCAATCGCTAAGAAGCGCTTTACAGCGATCGTGAAGTTGTTCGTGAGGCTGAGAGTGTTAAGTAGTACTAGCTCAAGAACGAACAGGACTCTGCTGAGGTCTTCGGAGGTCTCGGGGTCCTGCAGGCCAGTGTTATCGGCTGCCACGGCTCTGCTTCCGTCCCAGCTCCTTCATTTGAGAGAGAGGTAAGAAATGAAATGCGTGTAAAGGCCGAATTTTAGATATAGTAGTCTATAGGAAGCCTCAACAGCCGGCGGAAGCGGCCTCAGTATCAGTATTTGATTGCTCCCCAGCTTTGCATCGGTACCAAGTACGCTCCTTTCGCATCTGGCGTATTCGATACTCATCGCGAGGGGCAGAATCGTAAACCACTCTAGTACTCCAGAGGAGATGTTGCCAGGATGCGGCCAGTTGCTATCGCCAACAGCCAGGCTACGGCTGGAGGACGAGCTTCGGGACCATCAGAGCCGTGCTCGGGAGATCTCTGAAACTCTTAACACGGATAAGACAGCCGTTGCGCTGCACGACAAAATTCTCCGAAAGATCTTTATTTTCCACATTGCGGCGTGGACGGCCAAAATATAAGCCTCTGGTGTCCTTCGCCAGCATCGATGATGGCCAGAAGCGCTGTTTGAAGGACGACCACGGTTGGATGACCATCTGCTGGGTCTGCAAGCGCTGGCGAGCAATCGCGTTGGACACTCCGGTGCTGTGGACAAACATCCGTGTGAACGAGTTCGTAGAGCCTACGGAAGCGTACCTCGAACGCTCCCAGAACACCCAGCTCTTCGTCTCCGGCAGCCTGAATTTCCACTTGGCGGGAGGCAACAACAGGCATACTGCTGCTCCCGATACATGGGCCCTCGTTCTCAAGCATTCAGACCGCATCGAGGCGATGTCTGTTGACTATAAGTCTGGCTTGTACAAGGATCTCGTCCCCACTATGAACACCGAACACTTCAAACTCCCCCAGCTCAGACGTCTCAGACTTCAGTTTGTTCATGTCTCACCCAACGACAAGACCAGGCAGTCCGTCTTTGTACCCCATAGATTCGAGGTTGACTACCATGCGTCGCTGCTCGAAGAGCTCGAGATCATCCAACTGCCGTTTACCCTCACCTCCACTCTCCTCACTGTGGGGTTGAGGAAACTCATCCTGTGTGGCATTGAGTGGGATAGATACCACCGGCCATGGGATATCCTCCTTGGCACTCTGAAGAGACTTCCTTGTATCGAAGAGTTTCGCCTCCTGGAGGATCTCCCAGAACTCCCTATGGGCAATTTTTCTCTCGCAGGACAGGACGAGAAGTTGGAGGAGCAGCTTTCACAGCTGTTACTGGCAGCGCCTGTCGATCTTCCAAAGCTTCGGCTGTTGGAAGTGGCCAGCTCTTCTTGTGAGGACGCAGGACAAGTAGGCCTACTCATGAGCAACCTCACACTTCCTGCCAGAGCTGCGATAAGCATCACACTCTGCGGCACCTGCGGGTTCACATACCAGGAGGTCTTCCTCATAGGTTCAATACTAGCCACTACATTTTCTGTGCCGGCAGCTGGGGCGACCCCTCGGTTGCCGCTGCGCACTCTGTGTCTCCAGCGAGCCGAGTCAGAACTCGCATACGGTGGAGCGCCGCGTATCACTGGCTGGAGTGAGCCACTTTCACCGGAGAAGCTGCCACCAGGCACGCTCACATCATCACCGTCACCCACATTGTCGCTCGGCGTTGCTGATCAGGGACGAAGTGTCGATATCCTCGATACCTTGAAGTTACTCCCGCTTGGTAGCTTGGAGTACCTCGCTGTCCACCAGTTTCTGCCATTCTTCGTGGACTACCTCTTGGCATTTGCACACGCCCGTAATCTTCGCGTTCTGTCTGCTTCCGGCAGGGCCTGCCACTGGCTCATTTTCAGCCTCACTCCTCCGGGCACGAGTGGCGCTCTCTCTCTCGACTTTCGTTGAAAGACGACGTCCTCTTCCCGAACCTCGAGGAGATAACGCTGTTCGATTTTTTGTCTGCGGACCGTTGGCCGCCGCTAGCCGATTGGACAGCGAGGGTTGCGGAGTGCCTGCGGAAGAGGCGGCAAATCAGACCAGAAAGTCGCCTGCGAAGACTGGTGTTGGACGACAACAGCAAGGAGTTGAACGATGGTGCCGCAGAGCAGCTCGGGAGCGAGGTGGACGAGCTGGTCTGTGTTCGGAGAGGCAAGATACAGGTCTTCCGGCGCCAGCCTGAAGAAGAGCTAGGTGTAGGCGAAGGCCCGGACATCAAGCTCAAGGTTGAGCCATGCGACTCGGACTTGGCTCCGGGACACCGTTTCGAAGGGCCGTCCTCGGGTGGTCATTCGCTGAAGCGCGACCGTACGCCAATCAATTCGGGAGAGAACCAGCATGCTCCCCTCAATAAGACCGCAGAGGGCGGAGCGAACGACAGGCCACCCGCGGCAAAGAGGGCCAAGTCCGAGTTGTGCCAGGACGTCCTGTTCAAACGGTGAGGCGTTTGCGCGACTGCGATACGATACTTGTCTGGCTGCGACGTCGAGTTTAGTTTGTTCAATAGTGCATTGCAGTGACGTCATCTTGTTTCACCTTGATTTGGCGCGTTTGCCGCAGGGATCACGCCCTAACCCCAGCTGCAGGCACGGCAGTGATGTCTACCCAACGTCCTGCTCGCTTGTGTGACGGGTGCAGAGCGGTCTGTTGACGCTGCAGAGAGCGCTCCGTGAGACTCCTGCCACGGGATGGCCTTCACTGATCTCCACTACCGATCAGCTTGGATGTAGCCCGCGTTGAAGGGTTTAGTACTGGCTCGCAGTGCATCTCCGCCTTGCGGTCACCGCGCAGGCTCTGGCGCCCCCGCGCCTGGGCGGGCGGGCTGTACTGGCCGCCGGTCATGGTTCGAGGACAACGCGCAGATACGACATCTCCGAAAGGCAGGCTCTGCCGCGATCATCTCGCGACAGCGAAGGCAGCCAGCTAGGTTTGCGATGGGAAGGCATGCCGTTGCGGCGAAGCCACTCATTAGTCTGTCTGTACTCACGTTCTCTCCCACAGCGCGACAGGCACCGTGCAGAACACTATATATGCGCGGGTGGTGCCCGTCTATTGCGGGCGCGGTCTACTGGCGCGTCGATTGGCGCATCATGTTGAAGGTGCGGATCAGAATCGACTGACTGGCCAGCTCTTTCCAGATATGATGGACTTCATGCCTGGATCCGTTGGTCTGGTCGGTACCCCTGTTGTGGGTCGCTATAAGATTCCGTCCCCACCAGCGCCATGCGGCCTCATTGCCTTCGCCTTCGACGTCGCGCTGTCCTGCCTCGCCCCTGGCAACGTTCAACTTGCCCCCGTCGCTCTTTACCTTGCCGCGGCCTTCCCCCCCATTCCCCGCGATGGCCCCCGCAGCCTTTCTCTTGCTCGCTTCATGCTTCGCGTCTGCCCTTGCTGACGCCGTCCAGGTCAACCCGCCTTCTTCCCCGCCAGGCGACAATGTCACCGCCGTGTACTCCAACTTCTTCGGGATCTCCTTCGAGCTGTCGTTCATCAACTATTACCTCGGGAACGACACCAACTCCATCCCCCAGCCGGTGCTCAACTACCTCGGCGCGCTGCACAACCGCAGCAGCGACCGCCCGCTGAGGCTGCGCCTCGGTGGCAACTCCATGGACAGCTCGACCTACGTCCCCGACCAGCAGCAGATCCTCGTGTTCACCAACCCTGCCGCGAACGTCAACGACCAGACTGTCTCGTTCGGCTCCGTGCTCTTTGACGTCATGAACACGACGGGCACCATGCTCGGTGGCATAGAATGGCTCATCGGTGCGTCCCCATCGTCTATCCGCGCGTGTCCAGCGTTGCTCAGGCTCGTGCAATGCTAGGCCTCAGTCTGCTTGACCCCAACAGCACGAACGTACCCCTCTTGGCTGGAGACGCGCAAAAGTATCTGGGAGACGGTCTCGATGCGTACATTCTCGGGAACGTACGTCCAAGAATAGACTCGGCGAATCTTGGGCTGACTTCTGTCAGGAACCTGACCTGTACGCTTCACATGGAGACAGGCCTGGCATGGCCAATTATTCCGTGTATGACTACGTCGGGGTACGTGCCTGACTACGCGCGGGAAACGCGTTGCTGACAAGGCATTGGTGGTGCAGGACTACTGGGTCGCGACCAATAACTTGGAAAACACGCCAACGGACGGCAACGTGCTGGACCTCGATAAAATTGCTGGCCCTACTATTTGCTGTGATTGGGTAAGTGATCTGCTAGTAGCGAGCTTAGATGGGCGGCGCGACCACCAGTTACTGACTTTCTACGCGCTTATAGGACCTTAATGCCGTTCTCACGTCCGGCTGGCTTTCTGATTTTCAGGATCGCCTCAAGTACATCACACTACAGCACTATCCACAAAACAAGTAAATGCCCTGTCGCAATATTGAGCGCATGCATGCTGATATCTTCGCAGCTGCTTCGGCTCTTACCAATATCACCTCGACTACTACATGTCGCATACCCAGACCGTCGTCCTGGCCCAGTGGCAACAACCGGGCCTCCAGGCCATCGCCTCGACGCCGTCCAACCAGCGCAAGCCCGTGCTGATGGACGAGTTCAACTCCGCCTCCTGCGGCGGCGTCCCCGAGTCCAACATGTTCGGCGTCGGCCTCTGGACGGCGGACTACGCGCTGCAGATGGCGAGCGTCGGCTACTCGGGCGCGTACCTGCACACGCGTGAGCCGGGCGTGTCGTACAACCCGCTCGAGCCGCCGGCGGGCGACGCGGGCGGCGCAGGCGCGTGGGGCACGAACACGAACTTCTACGCGATGCTCGCCGTGACGGAGGCGCTCGCGAACGCGAACGGGAGCCGCGTCGTCGACCTCGGCGTCGACGGCTCGCAGAGCGACTTCGGCGCCGTGCACGCGGGCTACGCCGTCTACGACCAGGCGACGGCGCGCGTGCACGCGCTCGCGCTCTTCAACTACGCCAACGCGTCCGCCGCCGCCACCGACTTTGCGCTCCCCGCGGCGCTCTTCGACGCCGCGCCCCTCCCCGCCGCCGTCCTCGTCCGCTACCTCAGCGCCCCCAGCGCGACGGAGACGACGAACGTCACCTGGGGCAACTTCACGTACGCCGGCGTTGGCGACGGCACGCCCGTCGCGGCGGCGGCGGCGGCGGCGACGCAGTGGACGGACCGGACGTACGCGTGCGACGGCGGGTGCACCGTGCAGGTCCCTGGGCCCGGCATGGCCGTCGTGTTTGTCGGCGGCGCGCCGAGCACGACGGGCGCCGCGACGGCCGCGGCGAACGTCACGCAGAGCGGTGGTGCCGCCGGGCCGTCGTCCACTGGCGGTTCCGACGGGACGAATACCACGAAAACGGGTGCTGCTTCCGAGGGTTGTGTGGCGAACATTTGGACGCTGCTTGCTGGACTTCTCTTGATGACGGTTATGTGATGATTTGACTGTGATGCCTACTAGAGACGCTGTCTTGTATACTACACCGTTTGTACACCGTGTTGTAATAGCTGTTTGTGCTCCGAACCTTTGGACTATATCTGTTGTAGTACTTGCATACCTCTTGCTTTCGAAGAGACACTGGCATCGTTCCGGGATTTTGTTCACATCTCTATTTGCTTAGAACAGAGCTTTACACGAATGAAGACGTGACGGTCAGAGGGTCGCGCCGCGGACAGCCAGCAGACGGACAGACTGCTTCCGGAAGGCGCTGGCATCGTGGCGTCCCAGGGGCATCGATATATACAGCCATCGGACGTCGGCTAACTAACGTGAATCTGTCCTCCGTGACGCGCGCGTGAAGGTTCAAAGCCCACAAGCCTGAGAGCTTCATCTTTTCTTTACCGTCAAGGTCGAGCGAAGAAGTTGGGCAGCCAGCAGCTGCCTTCTCAGCATCGTCAATCGCGACATCGTCGTGCGTCTCAACAAAATAGGCACAGACAGTACCGAGCCGAGGATAAGTAATTAGTTTCAAGACCACGCTCGTCCGTGGTGTGATACAACGGATAGCTCGGCATCTGGGTGGAGTCACTACAGTACAGTTTACGTAGTGTACACAAAGAACAGGTTTCTGAATTGCAGGTCAGCGGCTGAAGAGAGAGAGCGGCTTGGAGGGTAGACGCACTGTTTGTCGGTCAGGTCCATGAAGGCGTGGCGCTCACGTTCCTTCTGGACGTCTTCATCCGTCCAACCGTGGCGGGCCTTCTCCTCTTCCAGCCGCGCCTTCCTCTGCTTGTTCATGTGCAGGTTGATGCCTCGGAGCAGGTAGCAGAGGAAAAGCTGGACGGTGAGGAGAACCAGGATGGCGATTTTTCCCGGGATGTAGTTGGGTGCGTCTTTGGGCTGGAAGATCTCGGTGCCGATGATGTTGCCAAGGCCGAAGGAGACGAGGGTCATGCCATTGATAGTATTCTGAAAGTACTTCAGCGTTGTCCGATGCGAGAAGAGAATATCGTGCGTTGTCGTACCTTCTTCGTGTGGCCACTGGTGTTACTGGCGTTGTAAGCATAGATGGTGGACAGCGCGCTTCCGAAGGTGCCAATGAGATAAACAGCTACATCGATATTAGTTCGGGCCAATTAATAAAGATTTGTTGAGCGCACCGAACAGGAGAACACCCTTCTGGCCCGAATCATTCAGGCCGATCAGCATCGCGGCTCCGACGATGGTGGGGACCAGCGCAAAGACAATGGGCACCATGCGTGACATACTACGACACTTCAATCTCGTCACCCATGCAACGATTGGGAAGAAGGGCCTACAATCTGTCCGAGTACCAACCACAGAACAAAGTCATAACGGCTGCTATACCGCCTGCAGGCGTTGACAAGATGAGCGTCTGTCTAGAACTAAAGTGGCGTGGTTTTGTGAGCGTGGGCATGCCGGGAAGTTTTGTCGTAGGCCACGTACCTATAGCCGAGGTTCTTGATGATTATGTTGCTAACTGAGGGACATATGGTTAGCCGCATCTCGTTCCTGGCTTGCGCAAGAACTTACAATTGCTGAGAGCGCCATTGGGAATACTCGCTATACATCACTGAGTCTACTTTCTTGCGCGCAAGCTCGAACACGCTCACTCATCATCGTCGAAAGTACGATCAACCACGTCCGAATGTCCGTTACGGCCTCGATAATCTGATCCTTCTTCCAGCGCTTATTGGTTGTGCCACTCTGATCTTCACGGACGCGTTCCAGAACGGCGATGCGCTCCTCCTTGCTGAGCAGGCGGGCGTGCACCGGTGAGTCTGGGAGCCAAAGGATGACCGCAATGCCAACCAAAATTGCGAGACCGCCGAGCAGGAGGTACACGATCTTGTACGGCGCGATCGCCTTGCCAGAGTAGAACGAAATTCCGTACGCGACGAATCCACCGAAGACTTGGGTAAGGCCATTCTAGTAGGGGCCGTAAAAGTGAGCCGACGACAAAATTCAGATGAACTCATTAACAGACCATGACGTAGAAGTACGCCACGCGCACGCCTTGCTCGTCTTTCTTGTAGAACATCGAGATTATGAGGATCAATGTTGGGGCTACACAGCATTCGCACATCCCAAGGAGGAAACGCAAAGCGAAGAAAGCTGAGAACGAAGATGTAGACGCTTGCAGCATAAGTATTATGCCCCATACGACAACGTTGCATCCTACACGCGTACATAATGGTTAATAACGGCGTTTGGTCAGATCATAGAATACCATGATACGAACCCAAATATTTCGCCACGCGCAGCTTCTGTGAGATATAGACTGTAGGGAACTCCCAGATAAGGAATCCCACGTAGAACGCAAGAGACACAAGGTTATACTGCTGTCCGGTGATGGGGAAGCCCATGATGCTGCAGAGTATAAGCTGGCTCTCCCCATAGTAAGCTAAATCAAGACGAACCTTGCATAGTTCAGCGAAGTCTTGTCCAGAAACTGTGTGAAGTAAACTGCAGCACACAGAGGTGGAATGATGAAGTCCTAACAGACGGCTGTCAGTTCGGGATCTAAGCTATACCACATAGACATCGCGTACTAGCTTGCGCCGCAGCCGTCGGTTGTACTCTTCGCTGAACTGTTGCGTCCGCTCCTTTCCCACAAGCTCCAAAGCCTCGTCACCGTTCTCGCTGCCCATGACGGAGACGATCTCGGCATCGGCGGGCTTCTCGTCTATCGGCTCCTTCGTGTCATGCCCCGTGTCGACCGAACCGGATTTCTGGATGACCATCGCGATAAGGTGTATGAAAGTACCAGGCTGGGGGCCAGCAGATGCTTTCAGCAGCAGGGCACATACGCGTGGGGCCCATTATATGGAGTGAGGCTATCTTGCTAGACGCACAGGACTACGGTTATTCTTTCTATGGGTACGACGATAGTCGGCCATATGTCTGAAGATAACGGCAAGGATAGGTGGATTATGCTGTTATCGCCATATGTGCTTGTGTGCGCACCCGTTCCGCAGTCGCGCCGAGGTGCAGTGACGTGCATATCAATATTTGAGGGGCACATTAGCACACAGAACGGTTGAGCCAAAGTGCACCCGCACGATATGCCCAGATTGAGAAAATTACTCTCACCACACTAATGGGCACCATCCCACGTCACGCCTGCGCGAGAAACGGCGGTTATGTCTCCGGGAAAGTGGATGGTACAGTCATCCACCACTCTTCGCGATAGCGCGCATTTCACGGCTTCGGGAACCCTATAATTTACAGAAAAATCATGATAGGTTCATTAATTTATTCTGGAACTGTTGTAAAGCGATGCTAGAAGGCAGGGAGATTTTCATGGTTCGGAGCTGCGTGATCTCTGAGGCTTGGTTTACGTCCGCGTCTAGATCGTGTGCAAATCCTCCCGATCCGAGATCTTCCCACGGCATTCTGGCGCCCGATATGTCTTAGCTCAAGCGCTCACGCTTGTTCGTCAGGACACGCAGACTCAGCGGCCTGAACCTACGGGATCCTACGATTGGACTCTAAGCTGCAGAAGATCTAGCACTTGAGCAACAGGCTGCAGGGTGGAAAACTGCACATCGTCAGAGTTGCTGGTACCTACACGCTCCCCATGGTATAGACTGGGCCGGTACGCTATCGTCATTGTCCTCAAGGAGAATATCACCTTATTTACCTGTCGAATATCTGGTCGGTGAGCCATTAGGTAGGTTTGCCTCCAGTTAGTCAGAAGCTGCAGCCTGATTATGTAGTCCCGGGCAGTTCAAGGCTTGCGGGGCCGACTGGCGTATGCGGCTGGAGCAGTTGACATGATGCATCGGGCGAGCTTGATATTCAAACTCAGTGCCAAAGGCGTTGTGTAGAGATAGAGCTGGAAGGTAATAAATGGGTTGGTACCTCTCAGGGGGTAAGGGCGAATCCGCGAGGTTCGGCCTTGGAAACGCGTGCGACACATTCAGGACATGGGTAGGCACGAGTGTAGGTCCAGCTTACGGGCCGTTTTCGACACAGCGGTGAGGGAACACGCGATCGAAGTCATACTAGCATGCATATACAGCCCGGGCCATCGGATGTCGGCCATATAACGTGAATCTCGTTACCACGGTATGTGCATAATTCAGATTTTATAGAGGCTCTAGTAGCCCTAGTATTTGAAGGTGATTAGCGAGCAGCCGCACATGGTACGGGATGCTGTGATTCTTCTCACTGTCGCACCAAGCTGCGATCTTGACTAATAAGCCGATTAGGAGAGCCAGTTGACCTGCTGCACCCGCAGACAGCGCTGCGCCGGGACGAGCCTGGACAATAGCCACGGGCCCAATGTGGCGGGCGCCACGCGCCAGCGACGTTCACTGGTAATCGGGGAACTCGGAAGACACGCCCCCGACTTCAATCATCCCATGCGCCTTCAGCCTCGGGAAGAGTCTCCCCAGGAACATTTCGCCGCCTACAACCCTCTCCCCTTCGGGCCCCGAACCATCACTGTGCTCTCCCGGGCGCTGGCCAGGCATGGTCATGTCCATGAACACGAACGGGATCTTCCCCTCCGGGAGCTCGCGCGCAAGCTCGTACAGGATCGCGTCCAGCCTGTCCGCCGCGCCCTCGCACGGCACATCGCCGAGCACCACCTGTCTGGTACCACCCGCAAAGCCGTGCAGGCCGACGTCGATACGGAACGCAAGCGCGGAGAAGTGCGGGAAGCTGGCGCGGCGCAGACCATCCGCCTTGGCGAGGAGGGTCGTGACGGGCGCGAGCTGCTCCTGCAGCAGCTCCTTCGGCGACCTCTCGTCCCGCGGATTGTCTGGGGACGCTGAGAGGGCCTCTGCAGGGCCCACCGAGGTGATGAGGGTCAGCCGCCTCAGATTGCGGCACGGAGCGATGGAAGGAACAGGTAGGGGTTTTGCTAGGCCGTCTCTCAGTATCGCTGTCACAGCAGACTAGCCGAGAGAAGACACGTACGCGTTGCTTTAAACAGTAAATCGTCCCCAGCGAAGAATAAGGTGAGCTCCTCCAGGCTGGGACCGCAGGCGCCGATGAGGCTCTCGTATAGCCATGGATTTGGACATGGCATAACTCTGAGGCTGCGGACACCTTCGAGGTGGATGAAACGGGTCAAAACGCCCATGTACACCTGGGGCTCTGCGGCACCAAGAATGAAGTGCTGAACTCGAACGGGGTAGGCCGGAACCAGGCCGGTGGGCTCGGACTCCGGAGGTGGATCGAACCTGAAGGGACTGTAGCCCATCGGCATGTCCATGCCCATGAGACGGAGCTTCCCGATTGCACTGAAGCATCCCAGGACCCCGGCGAGGATTGCGATGCCAAGCTTGGGGCTGTCGTTGATCATGTCCAGTTGGACAAGTGACGGGACTCCAGAGGGAGGGTGAAAGTGGAACTCGGCCGGGGCGTCCAGCGTGAAGTTGATGAGAGAGAGCTTGCGCAGCTGCGGAAGGAGTTGTAGGAGGGCATTGAACGACGCGATCGAGACTGGTGCCACGTTTGCTCCAGCTAATGCGGGTAAAATGCTCGGATAGGCCGGCGTAAGCACTAATCGGCGGATATGGCCAGCAAGATTGGGCGACTGTTTGAGAAAGTCGCAAAACATGGTGAATGTCTTGCGCGGGAGCCACTTCCGAGTCGAATAGCTGGCCGAGGCTATCCAACGACCTCTGGTCTCTACAATCTGTCCGTAGGCTGAGTCATCCGTGGGGTTCATGTATGAGTAATGAATGTCACGAAAGAGGTACGGTTGAGCAAGCAATCGCCAGGTGCGAGACACGAGCGTGCACGCTGCCAAGTCCTGCTTTGTTCGCAGAGTATCCGGCCATGGTCCCTGAGGACCATCTGCAGATATGAGGTGATAAAAAAACTCTCTGATAACGTCGAGAGGAACATTATTCATGGCCCTAGCCTACCGACATACAGCGAGAATTAGAGCTTGTAGGGTCATCGATCGCAGTTCTAACTCACCCCAGTGATATTCTCGGCGGATCGTTTGGGTCCCGCAGAGGAGGTTGTGGTATTTGAGGAAGACTGAGATCCTCGTGTTTTCAGCATGTCAACGATATCGTGACATTACGGTATCTGCCACCACTTCTTGCCTAGCCTATTCGACTCGGATCAGTCAGATGCTCAAAGAACTACGTAATACGAAGCACAAGCACTAGCGGCGAGTGAGCGGTACCCACACACGGTACTAGTTGGGATAGAGGTACCTGAGTGTGCCTGTTACTATGGCATGTACCTAGCTGGAAGTACTTGGACCGTCACCCAAAACACGCCCCCCGCTGGCGACGTGAAGAGGAGGGAACATCTCCGATAAGAGGCTGAACAGCGATGTTAGAATGGTAGTTACATTTCCAGAATACACTGGAAGCATCGCTAATATGTGAAGCGCATGTCACAAGCCGACCGGGTCGGCGCGACGGAAGACAAGGTCCCCAGCTGTGAAACAAACGAGATTCAACTATTGTTCGAATGACTTACACCGTCACGCTCTTGACCTCAATCATCCCGTTCTCCTTCAACCTCGGGAAGAGTCTGCCGAGGAACATCTCACCGCTCACAACCTCGTCATCTAGCGAGTCCGGATGGTCTCCATCTCCTTCCGGGTGGTCGCAGATTGACGTGGTCATGTTCAGCAGCCCGAATGCGACCTTCATCCCTGGTAGCTCGCGCGCAATCTCGTATAGGATCTTGTCCAACCTGTCCGCTGCTCCCTCACAGGGCACGTCATCAAGTATCGCTTGTCCAGCTCTGCCTGCAAAACAGTATAGGCGGACGTCGAGGTAATATGCGATCGCGCAGAAGTTGGGGAAAACCGCACGGCACATGCCTGCCTTGTCGAAAAAGTTGGCAACGGGATCCAGCTGTCTCTGAAGCTCCTCTTTGGACATCCCATCCGTTGAGCACGCTAAAGAAGGGGTTATGGTAAGGATAGTAAGCCGTCTCAGCCTGTGGCACGAAGCGATGGAGGGGACTTGATTAAGCGGGTCCAGTGCTAGGTGATGCTCAGGATGCTGGCGGTAGCAGATCAGTCGGAAGTAGACACGTACAGACCGACACACGAGAACCCCGGCACATGGAGAGGTTTATCTTGAGTTCTTCCAAGCTGGGGCTACAGGCATTGATGAGACTCTGGTACAGCCATGGTTGTAGGCCTGATACGATGCTGAGGCTGCAAACACCCCCAAGGTGGACGAAACGGGTGAGAACGCCCATATATGTCTGAGGGTAACTGGTATCGAGGAGAAGCTGTTGGACTCGTACGGGACTGGCCGGAAGCAGGCCAGTAGGCTCAGGCTCAGGAGGGATAAGGGGACCTGAAGAGCTATTGTCCATATCCTTGAGATAGAGTCTTTCAACCTTGTTGAGGTATCCCAAGACCGCCGCGAGGATCGATGGCCTCAGCATGGGACCATTTTTGAATATGTGCAGATGCATAAGCGATGGGACACCAGTAAGAGGGGGAAAGTGGAGATCAACCGGGACGTCCAGCCTGAAGTTGCGTAGATGGAGCTCGCGCAGCCGCGGAAGCAGCTGCATCAAGCCGATGAACACTTCCCCGTCTGGCACTGATCGGCCGGGCGAATGGACAGGCGCAAGCACCAGCTGGCGAACATGGCCAGCAAAGCTGGGCGACTGCCTGAAAAAATCACAAAACATGGAGACTGTCTTGCGCGGTAGCCATTCGAAGTGGGGGGCGGAGCATACCCAACGATCCCTTGTGTTCACAATGAGTCCGTACACCGAGTCATCCGTGGAACTGATATACGAGTAATATATATCGCGGAAGAGGTAGGGCTGCGCTAACGACCGCCAGGCACGAGACACGAGCGTGCAGGCTGCTAGGTCCTGTTTTATTTGTAGAGTTTCCGGGAACGACTTTTGCGGAAGGTCTGCGGGTAGGAGATGATACAAGAACTCAGTGACGACGTCGAGAGGAATATCAACCATGTTCCTTTCTGCGGTTAGCGAGAGTCAGGCTTGAGCACAGGCCTAAGTTCAACGTTCAAGCTGCTTCACCTTATAACGTCCGCCTTGAATTGCTGGGGCTCTGCGGGGCGGACGTCGTACTTGAGAAAGATTGGGTTCCTCGTGTCTTCAGTACTGTCTACTCTGCGCAGCGGTCAGTCAGCTGCTTAAAGAGCTACGTAATGCGTACCACGAGGCTGATAGTAGGCGCCATTCCATAAACCTCGCACTTTGACGGTTGCCAGTGTCGACAAATTTGTAGATGTGACAATTCAATCGCGTATCCAAGCTTCGCGTCTTCTTAACCAATCTATAGGGCCTGAATACGCCGGCCAGTTCGTTGCTGCTCGTCATGAGGACAAAGTCCTCGAGCTCAGGGAATAAGCGCAGGATTAAATTGGTTCAGCGTCCGCCACGACTACTGCTACAGGTAATTTACAGTCCGATGGGCAGAGGTGGGAGAGGAGGCCTATTAGCATACAGAGGCTGCTGGTGATAACATCAAGAAATGGGTACTGCAAATGCAACAAGTTCCGAAGGACAGTCCGTTTAGGGACTGCACAATCGACAATGAGGAGCGTATAATGTTACACAAATGATACATGAGAGCACAAATAGAAAGCACAAACAATGAGTTGCAGAGCAGACAAGGACTGCATGAAGGCGATGGGCGGGGTTGAAGGGCGTGGATATCGGAGCGAGCGGACACAGGGCTGTCAGCTTGGTATGTGATACAACGTTGAGGTGGATATAAACGATTAGATGGGGCCTGTACAATATATAGCTTTCAGATTAGCGTGGACTCCAACATCTGCCTTACGCCAGACTGCGCCACATGCCTGCAAAAGGATCCGGTCAGCCACATTCCCACTATCGAAGGTGCCATGGGAAACGCACCAGCTCCGGGTATCTCGCTGTGTTTCTGGAGGATGTTCAGCGCGCGCTGCATCGACTTCCCAGCCGCCTGGTCGTCCTTCTCCGGAAGCGAGCCCAACTCGTCCTCGACGTCATCCTCGAAGTCGAAATCAAGTGTACCGGGGTCGATGGAGCGCATCCGGTCACGCTCGCGGTATGACGCACGACGCATTGCCTCGGCAGAGACCTTACCCATCGACTCTGCGGTGTTAGTGTTCTTACGGAGCGGCGGGAGACCCAGCGGCCCGATGGGTATAGGGAGAGACTTGGCCATGACCGTTCCTCCGTCAACTGCCAGAGCGTAAATACGACTGCGCAGCATACGACCGCATGTGCTCACCTCTTGACTCCTCGTCAGGGTTACTCGAGTCAGTCGACTCGTCATAGTACGCAGACCCTTCGGCCGCAGAGCTGTCGGCGGCAGAACTTTCGTCTTCTTCCGGGATAGCCTTGTGCTTGCTGTCGTGCTTCTGCCTGTTGACGAACGTGCGCCAGGCAGAGCTGTCTTTTCTCCACGCACTCCTGTGACTCGGCATGCTCGCAGCCACCAGGCGTAGAATTTCCGCCTCACGTGGATCGGCGTTCTCGTCCTCGTCCTCTTCCTGCAAGTCGCGCACTTCCTCCGCGACATCGCGCCGTTTGATGTCTTCACTGCCCCCTGGCGGCGAAAGCACAGACTCCCTGATGTTCTGCAAGCGCGTACCATCAGCCTTGTCCAGGGATATGATACGGCGCATCGCGGAAGGGGCCGGAAGTGATGCTGGGCGCAATGATGACAACGACGAGGGTAAGCCGGAGTTGCCGGTCTGCCGGAAACGATGAGGACGCCGCGCGAGGCGGATAGGCTCCTGCACTGGAAGTTCTTGCTGGGGTGGCACGAGCGAGACAGGAGCAGAGGTGTCTGTGTCTACGCCGACAGTCTCTCCCTCCATATCGAACACTTCCTCTATAGCAAACGTCAGAAAGCATTCGTATCAATTGGCGGAGAACTCGCCTTCAGGTCTGTCAGTCTTGGGCCTTGAGAGCTTGGGGGTGGCATCGGCGATGATCGCAACATCCGGCTTCACGTCAAACGTGACCTTCCTCTTGCCCTTGGTCGGCGTGGTGTGCTCTTTGGGCGGGCTTTCCTTGAGAACAGGGGACCCCGGCTCCTTGGTGACCCCGATGTCTCCGTTCGATTTCGGCTTTTTGATGGCGCTCTTGCCAGCTCTGGGCGACCGGCCTCGTGGCACCGCACTCGTGCTGGGGCTGGGCACCTCATTGTACGACTCCTCCTCTTCCGGCTCCTCCGCCACGCTCGGCGGCGGGCGCACGTCGATGTGCTGCGAGAGATCCGTCATGTATTTGAAACTCGTCGCGACGTCGAGGGACTCGTCCATGTTTCTGCGGTAGGCCTCCCGGATCTCGGCCTCGCCGTTGATCGGCATGCCCAGCGTCTTGGAGGACGCAGTGGAGGGAGAATCAGTGCGCGCGACCTGCGTGGGTGATCTCGACGACGTGCTGGGCGGCGATGGCTCGCGTTGGCGGTGTCCCATGACACTTTGGAGGTTGGACGTGGCAAGAGACGCGGACAGAGCGGACTGCGCGGCCGCCGAGGGCCGGCTCTGCCTGGGGGGCGGGCTGGGCGTAGGGACAAAGTTTGTAACCCGTACTGAAGCTGCAGGACCCCTGCCTCTACTGCTGCTCCGTCTGGTCTTCAGCCGAAGTCGGGGCGGCGCGGAGGCATCCTCCTCCTCGAACTTTTGTACTACTCCTTTGAACTTGGCCCATAGTTGTTCCACACTCTGCTTCAGCGTCGCTTCTTCCGCCTGAATCGCCGCGATTGTCTTTTGCAGCTCCTGCCTCATGTGTGCTTCACCCTCCGCGCGAAGTCGTTCGGACTCTGTTGCCGCGCATGACGAGAGGTGCGTGAACACTGGGTGCGTCGGCGTAAATGGCGGCGGCGGGAACAAGTCCGGAAGGTGGGGGAGAATCGTCTCGGGGATTTCTGGGCTGCTTGGCCGGGCGGACTGAGACGGCGAAAGGAACGCATGCCCGTCCTTGGTCACGGGCAATTCGCCGGAGGGAAGTACGATACCGAAAATTTTCGAGTATTGTGGCGAGGCTTCTGCCTCCTCGATGGCTGTTCCAAGCTGGGGGCCCGGTCAGCTTCGGTTCAGAGGCACGCGTGGGGCGCCACATCCACGGCATGTCGGCCGCCGACGCACTCCAGACCATGGTAACACTCACCAAGGCGTCCGCAGAAATCTCTATCCAGCCGTCTGCGCTCCTCAGCACCTCCTTTTCTACCCATTCGTCGGTGGGCAACACGAGGCCCTCTCCGCTCTCGACGTCCGGCAGGACGACCTGCGATATCCGATAGACGAGCGACTCGCAGACGAGGCAGGTGAGCGACACGACGCGGACCGCCTCCGTCCTGTCCCCCACTCTGCGCTCGGTGCGCGGGCCCTTGTTGCGCAGGGTGAGCTGGATGTGTGCCTGCAGAGTGACAACAATGGGGGAAATCGGATGGAACCACCCCGCACGCGCATTTCAGTGTGCGGCCGCGCCAGAGAAGCATGTGCGCACGTACGACGCTGACACCGTCTTCACCGACATAGACGGGTGTGTGTGACCCGTCGGGGGGCTCCTGTGGCGGACCGGGTGGGGCCTGCGCATGGATCCGCACATTTAGGCACTTGCAGGCATATGTTGACGGCTGGCCGTTTTCGGCCATCTCAGGCTGTGTTCGCCGGCTTGCAGACAGCGGAAATCCGAGAGAGACTCAGGCAGGGAGGAGACGGCGCGGCGAGGAGGTGTGCAGCGGTGGTGGTGGTTTACTGGAGGTGAAAGTTGAGACAGGACGGCCGTGCAGAGGCATGTACGAAAGCGTCCAAATTTTTACCACGGCCGGCTCCCGTGCCGGATTTGGACGAGTCAGCCATCGCTCCCACCGGCGCGCAGCTCCAGGCGAGGCAGTTGAGCACCGAGTTTTCGACATGAAATGTGCGGTTCGGGGCAGAGCTGTGCACCCCTGAATTCAGTCACCACTATAAGCGGTCCCCAGCTGACCGTCCGTGCACACATCGCGCCATGTCTTTGATATCCAGCCTTGGGCGTGGCGGACGCGCATTCGCAAACACGCCAGGCCACAACCATGCTACCAGTATCAGATGCCTCACATACCACCCGAGAAGGACTGCCCATGCTCCGGCCGCAGTCATCCCAACTGTGCCATGCTCGAGGTAACGCCGTTCTACCTGTTCTTCCTGCTCTCCTTCCCGTCCCCGCCCTCTTTCTCCGCAACGGCAACGGCGTCAGACGCCATCACCTGACCGTACTCGTTCACCCGCTTGGGATCAATCCGATATATCCACCGCTGTTCGCCTAACGTCAGCATTCATTCGCGGCAGAGCGTGTCGTGCGCATACCTGATACAGGAATACCAGGAAGACGACGTCGTCCCGGAAACACGCCAGCCTGTGCAATATCGGCATCTTGATGCAGAACCTGCAAGCACGCGCGCACGGCATGAGACTCTGTCCGCGATCCGACCAGGAGAAATACGTACGCAAACAGATCGTCGACGACTGTGGACAGCGTCTTGTAGATCATCGCCTTCATCGGCATGTGCGCGACACTCTGCGCCCAATCGCATCAGTCGCAGCTGAAGCGAACAGCGGGCGCACTAACCTTGAGCTTGTAGTTGATGATTAATTGCGGGACGAGTTGTGCCTGTCGCAGCCTCGTGTCAGCCACAGTCGCACGCCCAGCTACAAGGACTCACGAAGCCAAACATGTAGACAAACGACGTCAGGGTGCTGATGACAAATGAGTACCAGCCGCGGTGGGTCTCGTACAACAGCGAGTACACGGTGTACGCCGCAAGGCATGGGATCGTGACATATGCGACGTATCGGAACGCTAGCTTGTCGTATCTGCGGGCGGGCATCAGCAAATGAGATCGTACGACTCCACGGTTGCGACCTACTCCTGCGTCTTCTTCTCATCCTCACTGAGAACATGTTTGTCTGGACGCGGCGTTAGTCTAATGTCCGCGGAAGAGAATAGCAGCGAACACGGACCTTTGATGTCAAATTTGTATGGCAGCAGTGAACCCGGGGGCGACGAAACGATCGTTATGTCCACGGCTTTTGTAATCTATCTGACGGTCAGCTGACGGGTGGACATACTATATGTCGGCACTCGCCTTCCACGCTTCGACGAGCACACCGACACCGGATCCCATGAGAATCATCCAGCTCGTATCCTCGTTATTATCAATGAGGTACAACAGAATGATGATCTGAACCACCACATTTGTGGCAATCTAGAACGAGGCGTTTCAGGTTGCCAAGGTGAGAGTCTCCAGAACACATGACGCACCGTTCTAGGAAAATGCGGGAGTCAGCTTCGGCAGCTACACAACGACGCCGAGACGGACATACCTAACGGAGACTCCAACGAGTTCCTTCTTCTTCCGCCAGTGCGCGACATCCGAACTGAACGCAAGGAACTCAAATCTAGCGCGCCCCGTCAGACTAGTCCCGGAGAAATGCGACGCGAAACTCACAAGACGTGGAGCACGCTCACGAGCGCGGTGATACCGAGGAACCACGGGTTGGTCTCGACCAACATCCGCTTGATCTCGTCCAACTCCGCGCCGCCCGCGGCACCTTTCTCTTTCGCAGCCTCAGAGAAGCTGTGCGCCATCTGCGCGAACAGCTGGAACTTCCAGTATACCATCGGCTGGAAGGTGACTTCGAGCGGGAGAACGGGCGTTGTCGTGTTGATCTCGATGTATTGCGAGCGGAGGTGCCAGAAGTCATTCGGGAATATGATTGGCTTGTAGAAGCCCTTGGTGCCGGTCTCGTCCCGCTCTGGTGCCAATGTGACGTCTGTTACCCAACATTAGCCAACTACGACGTCGTTCTGGTATGTTAGACGCTTACGCTGCGCGATAGGAGCAGGCAGCTGACTGACGGGGACTACTGTCGCATCAGAGATCAGCGCAAGTGTGAGATTCTTTATCACAAGGTAAGTTGCAGTCTCAGTCACTGATCATGATACGCACTGTGTGCCAATGCGATGTGATAATGTCCGCCTGCGGCCGAGCACGTATTAGCACCGTACAAAGCAGCGTTTCAGAACAATACCTACCTCTGACTCCTCAGCTTCGAGTTCTTCCTTCGAGCTCAGGAGACTCTTCTCCTTTCGGACTTTGGCTTTCGGCAAGTATCTGGTCAACACTGTCATATGTTCAGCTCAGGCACCAGCTGGCGCTGGGATGCACGCACGTTTCCTAGCATGATGGACGGCTTCCAGGTCAAACATGGGACTGCTCGGATTCGGATTGGCACCACCTCGGCACAAGAAGATGTCGGCCCACATAGAGCCGTTGTGCTGGACGGACTGCGACACAGTCAAGTTTAGGTCCTGTATGCACGTCCTCGTGGTATATGCAGAAGAGAACATACCTCTGGGATGCGTACATCGTACGCAACGGTCCTATGGTCGTCCCAATCTCCAAAAGTAACGTTGTCCCAGACAAAATATGGGAGATCCTCCTTGTGAGGAGAGAATACGCCGGACGGATGGGGAGAAGTCGTGAGGTAGACGTGCATGGATAGAGGAATCCCAAGAGGCCAGGCAGGATAGGCTTGCGTGATGACTGCCGCTGGTGCAGCCCCTGCAGGAGAGCCTGGTGTAGCTTGTGTAACTTGCGCAACTTGCGGCTGAGGTGGAGCCTCTGGTGTCGTCTTGGACGCGAAAAATCTAGTGACTACATAGGCATAAACACCATTTCAAACCGCGCGTGCAGTCAACCCAACATACCAACTTGCATAATAACCCAAGCGAAGAACATTTGCTGTATTCGAATGAGCATCTGCATCTTGGTTCGACAGTAGAGGAGACACACCTTGATTATGCCCGTGATATTACCCCAAGGGGAGTCCTCATTCTGTTGAGCAGCAGGCGCAGCGTTTGCTGGCCGTGCGGGGGGCGCGGGGGTAGCCATGCCCACACTGCGGGGTCGTCGTGGTGGTCGAGGACGAAGTCGCTGGCACTCACAGCAGGGACGCAATTGCAAACAGTCGCCCCTCCTCTGGGCGCCTTCGCGGCGGGGTGCGCGCCACGTGGGGCACCAACCGATAGATAACCCACGTGGGTCAAGCTGCGCCCTCTTAATGACCGCCACCTACATTCTCCTCCCGAAAACCATAACAAAACCTAACGGGGCCGCAAGAAGTTATCCCAGGGCATATCTGGGCCCGGGTCAGCCTCAGAAAGACGCTTTCTCGTTGCCGCAGCGAGGCAGAGCGACGCCACAGCCAGGTCACCTTTGGCTTCATATCGTATTCTACGAGATATTTATTCGAGAGAATTCCCCACTGATACGTACATTGTTACACTACTAGCACAAGGCGGAAAGGCATTTGTGGGCGCTCGCAGCGTTCGTGATGACCAGAATACACGACCCCGCCGCCTGAGTTCGTCTTGCGAGATGAGTCGTTGACTACTGTATAGCTGGACAGTCTGCGATAGCTGGTTCTTTCTCTAGTGCAGCTCATTGGTGTCATACGGGAGTCGTGCCCACGGTACTAGCTACCGCCTCACTTATACGGAGGCTGTTGTGTGTTTACCTCTATCCAGCAGTGGACAAGTCTTGACTTTTACGAGACACACATCCCATAACTGCCTGGCTTACATTAAAGGTGAAGATCCAGCGTACAAGAAACACCGCAGAGCCAACGCCACAACGTCGGCGCTTCCGCTTCACGTGGTTGTCGAAGTTCGCCCCGAGGGTTCGTTTCACCAGGTTTGAAGTATACCCTTCTGACAAGTCTAAGTGATTGAGGCACAATTATTTTAAGGAGAAAACAGCCACGCTCCCGTCGCCACTGTGGCAGAGATTGAATGAAGCACGAGAAGACACTGGAAAATCTAATCTGTCTCTGGTTCCTCTTGTTTCACGCTCATAATCATGAGTCAATGATTGGCACCCAACGACGGACTGGCCAGGCGCACGTCTGTCGCCTAAGCATGCCCCTGGGGGGACTCCGGATACCTCTGTCGTTCGCTAGTCAGACATCTGGGGCGTCAGAATCATCCACACACGAAGGGGCGCGCGTGGAAACTCTCCACGAAAACAGTGGTCATTAATATGAAGACAAGGCTGAAAGCAATTCCCACAACGTCACGCAGCATCATCTGGCTATGAGTGTGGTTTTAATTTTGTCGTAAACCCTTCAAGCTTACAAACCCCAAAACTCACCGACTGTTGAGATGATCTCCACACTCCACGGTGCAGTCCTTACACGCGATCTCCGCTTTATCCCCTTTGAGCTGGATCAACGCAAATGTGCTCGAGGACGACTTCACAAATAAGCTCTTTGAGAACGGCCTCAACGAAATTTAAGCCCACAAACTCCACGAATTATTTCTCCGAAGTACGAAGTCGCCATTCGTGGATCTAAGTTGCATCGCGTACATGGCAATCCGTACATGGCAACTCTGGTCGTAACATATATCTTCCATTCAATCCAGTGGTGAGATGTAAGCATGACCAATACCAGGCCTAAAGCTTAGCGGTGGGCTGTGTGGGCTGCACAGCAAATTCCAGCCTTGGGAAGTGGCAGCGGAAGATGCCCGCCTTCCCCTTAATCTCCACAACGGACTCTTCTCGGTTTAGTGCCAGGAGCCGCCCGATTGTAGGCACTTTCCCTGTAACAAGTGAACATTTCAGCAATGCAACAAGCTATAACTCCGTGTATAGCAGCATACCGCTGTCCGTGGGGCAGACCGATACCATGTCACCCAATTTCACGCTCAATCGAGCGGCCTCGACGGCCTCGAAGCCGACCGACTTCTCATCCTCGTGTGAAGCAGAAGCGATCAGCTTCGCTGCGTCCTCTGCCGTCAACTTTTCGGGGGTCGCAGCGTTGCTCTTTTGTGCTTCCTTGATATGCTTGGCCACACGATCGATCCACTGTGCGAAAGAAATGTTTAATTGGCGTGAGCAACATGCGAAGCAAGCATCAGCTCACGGCGAGGGTTTGCGGGAAAGCGTCGGCACTGAAAATCTCTCTCAAATTTTTGAACAATCGTGCCCAGGTGAAGAACACCTGTGCCGACACATCCACCAAGCCGATGCTCTCTGTGTCCAACAGCCACTGACGCCCGTCTGCGAGCTGCTCCTCAATCAACGCCTGGGCACCTAACATAAGCTACTCGTCCCACAGAACACAACAAGAGCTGACAGACACACCAGGTGCGAGGCGATCGCGCTGCTGCGGTGGCCCTGCTTCTCCGCGAGCGCCTTCGCGTCGATCTTGCCCCCTCGCCATTGCTGGCGGTCTTCGATGAACTTCGCGTCAAACTTGGCATACGGCAGGCTGTTCGCGAGGAGCGAGAAGAGCGCGTCGCCCACCCAGTAGCGGTCGAGCAGCTTTGCGAGCGTGGCGTCGGTCCTGCCGCCTCCCGCGCGCGGCGGGAAGAGCGGCTTGTAGCCTGCAGCAGACGGGAAGCGGCGCTCGAGGACGGACGCGATGAGATCCGTGCCGCAGTATATGTCGTTCCCGATGGCGACAATGGGTATGCGTCGGTAGGTCAACCCGAGGAGGTCAGTGATCTCGGGGCGAGGAAGTTGTATGGGGACCTGTCGTCAGTGTTCAGAACTGCGCGTGTGGACACAAGGGTCGTGCCGAACGTACCGCGACAAGCTTGTGGGGGATGCCTTTGACCAAGAGCATGTTCTTAACCTTAGTCGAGAAAGGCGACGCATCGTAGCTGACGGTTGGATGTGAGTTTCCAGGACTTGAACATAGGACTGTCGCGACGTACTGGTACAACACGACAGATGTATTCGCCATGGCCCGTCTTCGGATGCTATCACTAGCTTACACAGTTGCTAGGCGTATATGAGCTCGCGCCGCGAGAGTGCTGCTCAAGAGCGAGATTTACATTCCATGGGCTCTTAATATAACTTATGTGCTGCCCACGCGGAGATGATGGGACAGAGCAAATCGGAACCGGGTCACAAACTCGATTAGGGCGTGCCGGGAAATCACAGGCTTCACATTCATGCCAAAGCTCGAAACAATGCGAAAGCTGCTTACTCAAGTAGAGTCCTAATTTTCTAGCTAGCGAGTGAGAGAGAGGAAAAGAGAGGAGTGGGATGTGAAAGATGCGAGAGAGTCCATAGTGTGCGACAAGACATCCGGAACGGTTTTATGGCGAGTTAGGATAGGCGGCGACATCTCCATTTACATAGTAGAAATTATCAGACGGCGACCCCATGCGCGGGGTATAGAAGCAACTCAAAGTACGTCAATTCATGTCCCAGTACGAGGTATCCCAGAATCAAAAGGAGTGGAATGGAGCATATGGAAAGCATCGTGATGAGCTCGTGTCTGTTTAGTTTCTGCGGCAGAGGCGGAACAAGTTCCGCTTGAGGAAGTAGTACAAGCACTGATGAAGGTGACATGAGTACATAGTTCGACTGCCAGGAGTATGATGCACTTACCCCTATGAAGCGCACAGCCGCAAGACCGAAGGTCGAGTAGAGGATAACTTCGAAGTAGATGTTCTGCTTCGCATGAAGCCCTGCCTCGTCTTGAGCCTCATTGCCAGTTGGCAGACCGTTGATATTCTCGATAGCGACCGCAAGGCCCGCGTTACTGAGCATCCAGAACGCAACGAGCCGGGTACGGAATGTCTTGTTCTCGTCGTCCATCGTTGGCTTCTCGACTTCCTCCTTGACCTCAAGCTTGGTGACCGCACGGGTGACGGTCTCCTTGAAGTGCGCCTCGAGATCTTCCTTGTTCCGCGTCGCTTCCTCAACGACAGCAGTGTCCTCAGTCTTGCCCTTCTTTGAACTGACAGACGGCAACGCCTCGGCTTTATCGCTACCCTTGGTTCCCCACGAGACATCGTGCAAGTTGCAGAAGGCATAGACGTTCAAAACGTTCGTGAAACTTGGGGCCAGGCAAAGGTATTGGAAGAAACTTGTGAACATGTGCCAAGGGTCGCGCTAAAAGCAAGTTAAGCAACAGCCGAGACGAAGTGCTAAGCATGGACAACTTACGTAGAGGAATGAGGCGACGAAGTAGATGCCAAAGGTTGAGACAGCAGCGGCGATGAGAGCACCGATAGGCCCGGTAAGGATTGCCAGGATCACGCTCCCCTTAGTTTGTTCGAGCAGGGTGGGAATATTCTCGAATGCTTTCACTGTCAAGTAGAATGAACAGACCAGCAGGTACACCGCAAGAATAGCGTAAACCCTGCGCGATGCCAGTCAGACACTTGATGCGCATGCTACGGCGAATACACACCATAACGTTAGAGCGTACGCCATGCGTTCACCCTTTGGCCTGTTACCGAGCGCAAGGACGAATTGCAGCGCCAAAAATATGAGGTATATCCACTTGAGAACTTCGTTGACCCAGTGTGTCTGTAATCCTATAAGATCATTGGTTCATCATGAACGCGGGGTACGTACCACCGTCGCTGAACCAAAGAAAGGGGTCTGGTCGGCAACGAGATCAATGATGATACTGAACGTCAGCCAGATGTTTGCCAGCGAGAACCAAGAGAAGACTAGAGAGAAAACGTTGTACTAAATTCAACAGTCAGGTGACCCAGTTTGCATGAATGAGCGACAACGACGTACGAACGCCTGTACGTGGAAGAAGAACATTCGGACAATGCCATGGCCAGATCGATAGAGCTTGAAGAAGTTGACGAGCGCATACTGAAAAATAGCGACTTCATTTACTGGTTTGATCCGAAATAGCATGCGGGTACATACCACCGATGCGGCGAACGAACCGTTGAGCCAACGCCTGCGCTGGCCGATCAACTCAGCAGCAGACTCGGGTACATCTGTCTCGGCCTTGGAAGGTTTAACGTATGTGAGCGTCCACCTTTCGTTGGCCTTCGCGACTAGCTCGAAACAGAGGATACGATCCTCGGCCAAGAACATGTTCTTCGTGAAGATGTTCATGCCGTAGATACCCTTGGGGCCTAGGCGATCGGCGAGCGAATGGTCACCGTGGAAGTACTGTTCAAGAGGCCGACCAAGGATAGCGCGGTACCGGTACGCTGAGAATGCACCAGGCAATACAGAGACGTATCCGAAACTGCTCTCTAAAGGCTTGTCTGTACATCGCCTCGTTATGAGTCGTGTCTGCGGATATAGCACATGCACGCACCTAGAATGTTTGACATCTTGTACTCGAAGTTCTGGGCCGCGACGAGCGGGTTCAGAAGCTTCTTTCCACCCTCAAGCATGGCATGAATCTCTCCGCAGCATCCTCCAAGATTGGCGTCGTTGTAGAAGGCTTCCCAGAGGTAGTAGATCGACTTGCGACCTGGCTTCGTACCAGCATCGAGGAGGACACAAATCTCGGGCTACAGGCAGGATGAGCATTGCGTATTATTGATAACCACATGTAATTACCTCGAGCATCTTGCCGATGGCATTGAACAGCCAGCGGTGAGAATTAATCTTCTTTTGGTTCTTGGCTTTGATGACGAGCATGATTTGTACGGGAACGAGGTTGTTGGGATCGTCGCCTTGGGGAACGACCAGTTGCGGCGTAGCATCCACCGACAGCTGTGTTGTGTACTACGAGGGTGTTAAGAAAGCGCTCATTATGTTTTACGCACTGCCGTCTCACCTCGAAGATGTGCGCAACGGTTTCCTTCCCGTCGACCTGCTTCTTCATGACGCCATCCTGGTAGACACCGACAGTAGCCAAGATATCCAACACAGTCTTGTCCATAGGCTCGAGACCGTCGATGATCAGCGCGACCGCGATCTTCTGCCATCCAGGAACACCCTCCTCTGCGGTGCGACGCCAGTACTTCGACTGCTTCGTCTTGCAGATGTCTCGGATATTCAGCATGACACCATGCAGCGTACGCGCGTACAGAGTCTTGTCTTCATTGTAAGATGTGACAGCGATCAGCAGCTCCGTCGAGCGGTTGTACTGCTTCGTGCGCAGCGAGTAGCCGCTTGCCTCTGAGAAGTCGTCAGGATCGCACGTCGCAGCTGTATACCGCATGTGGCTAGATGACGAGAATGTTTCAGCATTGGCGCGCCCACGAATAGGCTGCGTGTCGCTTACCTGAACTCCGTTGTGCGCGCGTCTTGTGTCCATTTTCCCTCGATGGCGCTGTATACAGGTGTAGGCACCGGATACTCCGTGATGAAGTTACCCTTGGTCAGCTTGACCTTACGAGTGACACCACGCTTGATGGTCTGTCTACGTCTCCAGGCTGATTCGACACCTCCACTTGATGTGGATGCAACCGACAGCGGGCGCCCATACGGGTCGCCGTATGCACTAGGGTCCATGGGGCTGCAGCAGTCGCAAGATGAGTACAAGGCAGGGGAAAATGAGATGCAAGAGGCAATATTGCTGGCACTTACGCTGGCGGATACAGCCCACCCGAAGTCAAGGGCATCTTCTCTACCTCATCGTCATCATACTGTCCTTGTGTCCCAAATTCACCAGGGAGCGAAGTCGTGCTTGCATAGGCACTCGGTGGTGCCTCGTGAAAGGCGATGTGTGGGCGATCAGAAAACGGGTCGTGCTCAGCTTCGCTCAGGCTGGACTGAGAAGTGAAAGAGGGCAACGGCGGACGGTGTTCCTCGGCCATTAGTTGTGGGGCTGTTGAGGATTAGACGTCAATGAGGAGGGATGCGTGGAGGACGTGGCCTGCCTCGCCTGGAGGTGAAAAATGAGGTGAGTGGGAGTCGTTGAGTGCAGATTTGGCTGTTGTCGAGGCGGAGACAAGTTATACTTTTTTCAGACCCCGAACACCTGCTCGTAACTACACAGCCATTGGCCTGATTGCAAGCGCCTAAAGGCTCTGCAATAACTGCTTCGCTGTATGCACTTGATTGCCGACTGATGAAAGCCCATTTATGAGACGAGAAAATAAGCTAGCCGGCGACTATGGCACAGCAGCAACCTGGAGCGTTGCGTCCTCCGTCTGCAATATTTCCCTGTATTTGCTACTGCTTTCTCGAGGAGGAGAAGGGACAAAAATAAAGGCCTGTTCATCGATCGGCAGATGGAGCTGTGCGCTTCGGAATCTGTTGATGGGCGAGGTGCGCCGAAACAGCCATACCTGTACTGTACTGCGTAAATTCACAGCAATCGCCGCGCCTGAACGTTGAACTATGAGCTGTCCGCACCGCACAGGGAAACAAAGAGGCGTGAATGTGAACGACTCTAGTGACTCCTTCAGACGTCGCAGCGCCTGGGCCCCCGAGGATACCGACGGTAATCACTCTTCCCAGCTTCCCAAGTCAATTTTGGGCCGTGACCTGTTGCCTAGGCAGTGAACGGTGTTCGGGGACGGCGGACATCTCGGCCGTACGCAGCAAGCGTGGTTCCATAAAAAGGGAGGATATACAGCCATAGTACAAACGACCCAGACGATGGGCGCCAAAGACAGCAGAGCGAGAACGAATCAACGAGGAAGAATACATGAGACAGAGAGGGCAGTCGTATAAGATCGTAACATCATGCGTAAAAGTAAAAAGGATCTAGAACGGGTTCTCGTCATCGTCCATCTTCTTCGTTTCGTCGCCACTCGAGTCGGATCCCTTAGCCTCAGCTTGCGAGAACAGCGGAGCCATAGGCTTTGCCGCGCCTCTGCCAATCCGGTGAGCAGCTATCATACGGCATCGAGCAAAGCACATACTTGGCAAAAGTCTTTTTCTTTGCCGCACTGATTTTCTTCGTGCACGGTGTCATCAAATTGTCCGTTGGCGAAACGAACGCAGGGTTTCTTTGATCCGGCAATGAAAGATGAGCGTCTATCGTACAGAGGCGGGCAATGGGGCTTACACGTTCTTCGTCATCCTCTTGGCGAGCAGAGCCTTTGCACCCATGCCAGGTGCGAAGGATGCACCTCCGTTCGTCGCGTTACCGAGAGGTGCCTGTGGGACAACGACGCGCGCCGCCTGAGAGGGATTGTGCAGCGGTTGGACATGCGCGGGGGAAGCATCGGGGGTCGAAGTAGTGGACATGACGCTGATTCTCTAGAGCGAAGAACGGAGCAGAGCGGGGAGAGCTAGTAAAGGGGGACGAACGTTGAAGACGTGGATGTTGGTTGGAAGGATAGGTTTGAACTTCGCGCTGCAGCTTCAGGTCCCCAAAATGAACCCTCACGTGGAGCGTGAGAGAGACACGCTCATCACGTGGTCGCGTGACGGCTGACCCCCAGCTCTCTTTGTCCAGCTCCGCTCATGTCTTACTTATTTTTCTTTCTTTTTCAACTTCGTGACTCTCATCCCCCGGATCGTCTTCTCTCTGGATGAGTGGTGGCAAGATCTATTCGACTGTAAGTAAAACGGCTAGCGACCCTCTCGCGCTGAGCGATCTCGACGAGACAGGTGGATCATCTATCTGATTCGGCAAAGGAGATTGGACAACCATGGTTACCGAGACAAGATAGTTGATGTCGTCATGAACAACTGTGTCTTCCATCGAATGATTAATTCTGAGATCATCACTATACAGCAACTCGACGATCTGCCTGTTGCTCATGCTGAACACCGGTCGGCTCAGCAGCACTACTACCACCCACTGTTCTCCTGCGATGACGTACATTTGATTGTATAGTTCCTCATGCTAATGTTATAGACTGCCTAGCTGTCATGACGTGCGCGTATATTGCGTAGATCACACTTGTCCTGTGAGTCCCACCTTCTATGCTCTGCTATAGGACGCAAATTGACAAAGCTTTCGTCTATTGAGGGCGGCTTTTCGACCTTATCGCTGTAACAGCAGCGGTGAGCTGTCAACCATGCCCTTTTTTGTTCTCTAAATGTCTATTTCGACCCTATCAGCAGCACGGAATCACCAAGGTATTTCCGCGTCGCTGCTCGGAACTCTGAATATGAATCATCACTCCTTGACGAGATAGCTCACCAACACTCACGCTAGCAGCCAACAGACATGAAGCACTCACGGCCTAATCCTCCGAGGGTGCTTTTGTTCCCCGCACCCTTCCAATTATTGCGACGGCAGAAGACTGTACACGATGTACCAGTCCAGTCTTCACGGAGTCCAAAACGATAGCTCTACATAGAAAGCCATCGGGTCAAGATTCCGGCTAAATCTAAGTCTGGTGCGCCGCGAGCGAAGCATCGGCATCCCAAGAGCATCAAGGCTAAGCCTGGCCGCCTCTCCATCCGCTCAATCCATCGCGCCTTTGCGCGTTACACTGCTCCCATTTTATACACCAAGCCGCGACTTGCTTCAGTCTCTTATCGCCCAACAAAGAGTCGAGCGAGACAGATAGTGGCGTCACCCCGTTCTCCCGCAATGAACAAATCCGCAGCTTGCCGCCATTGCTACCGATCAGCCTGCGAAAATCGAGCGCGAAGCAGCCCGAGGAGAAGCGTATCTGCGGCCGTGACCGCCCCGGCGGACGCAATGTCCAGATTGTCGCGATGCACGTGCAGCCCGAAGCCGCGGAGAATTTGCCTCACAAAGGCTAAATCTTGTCTGCTGCTGTGCATCTTCGAATTCGCAGGCCGTCGGCTCCCCTCGGCTCCCTTCATCAGACACCGCCCAGGCAAATGATGCCCTGTAGGGCAAGAGCACTCGCAGGGGGTTGTCGCGAGAGCCCAGCGATCAACGGGCTCGGGTACAGCCTGAAGCCTCCTGCTGCGCAAGTCCGCCCGTTTCCGCGTCCGCCTGTCCCAATTTCATCGCTGTGTAATTCGGAACCGCCTCTGGCGGCGTCGCACCTGAGCATACGCGGCCTGATTGCTATGCCTGCGATGAGCGTTTCGTAGATAAGGACGGCCCGCTGCGGGTGCTCATGCACTCATGTCTGATCCGCGCCGCCTCCAACGTTCCCCTTCCAGGCTTAGCCACGCTCGCCCTGTCGCCACTATGTCGTCTCGCGCCACTGCAACCTGGGACGCTGCCGTCACGCCTCTGCGCGTGGCCCCCAGTCCGTTGCGCGGTTCCCGCACTGCGACTGCTCGTGGGACGTGAGTGCCCTACCGAGGCTGGCGTATGTGTTCCGAGTACGTCGTGGTGGCCAGGCTGTGGCAACCATCACCAGTCGTCGTCCTTAAGTCGCTCTCGCGGCCCTGCAGACGCGCCTCCTTACGACATTCCGATGCGGCATGTAAGAGATACACAGTGCTAGCCCTTGCATGCAACGCTTTGGCTATACCCGCGGGCGTCGGACATCATACATGTCGCGCGTGCGCCTTCCTAATTCCTCCGATGCCCATGATACGGTGCATCTCCATGAATGGAATGGAACATGTCCGCGTCCGTGGTGGCGGCTGTTGCTATCTGTGGCAAGCTAAGCACATGGGCCCGCCACGAAAAAAGCTATGCCAAAAGGCCATCTCCGCTGTTAGCCTTCCAAGCGTCCGGACGATGCCTTGCGGAATTCGTCGATCGCTCTTTTATGGCGAGCCATGTCGCTTTGGCTTTCTGCTTTATCACCCGTTGGTGCCATTCACAATCTGAGCCGAAGTCCGTCGGGAGTTTATCGCGCCGTAAACGTATACCAGGGCGCGCGCCACACGCACATGCGTCTCAGTGCATTCCGGCGTCCAGCAATGTGTCACTGTTATGTATCTCGTTCAGTCGGCTATATAAAGTTATGTCTAGAGAGGCCTAAAAACAAGCCTTTGCGACGGAAATTCCCGACGGTCAGGGCCTCCAAGACCATCGTCCCTGCGTCGACCGCGAACGTGTTCCGAAATCACAAGTGAGTGTGTAAAGGGCGGATCCAGAGTGGCAACACCGCAACCTTGTTCCTAGCAACATCTTCCATCATCAGAGCATGACATTGCACAGGGTAATTCCTCGGGCTTGCAGGACAGTCGGAAGTGGTGGTTCATGTGGCTTGACCAAGCCGCGAGGGAATACCATGGGAGTTGCTCGGCTAGAAGGGGAACGGAGAGAGATGGATCTTGGGAGGATAATGTGTTCTGCGGCGTGGCGTAGCGACAAGCTCCTTACAACACGAACTGTTCCTGGAAAGACTGGAGCACCATGTGTTAATAGCTTGACGTACCCAATAGCAATGTGTCGGACTGTCGGCATGCATGTCATTTTTCCCACCACAAGAACACAGCACGCCCGCCACAATGTCCGGCAGAATATCCACTTGCGCAGTCCTGAGCGGTACGCCCTCTTCTGGCCAATGTATCCCCGGCTAGAGCAAAGTTCATGATAGATGACTATTGGGATATCAGGCACCGCTGCCATATCACATCGCACATCCTAGTAGCTGGGCAGCCTCGTTGCAGGCCTTGAGAAGCGTGGCTTGCCATATACGCCGGCCTTATCTCTGGTGCTAGCTCCGCTGGAGTGCTGCAGGGAGTGTAGAGTACGTATACGTCTTCGGAGCTCGGGGGTTAAAGTTGGGTCCGGTCGTATGTAGGCGGATGCGCAGAGAATGCGTGCGACGTTCTAGGCTCGCTTAGACCTTGGTGTGGTGGCCGTTCCGAGACCTGTATGGACAGCCTGCGCGCGATCGCCCGGAGATGGTACGGAGGGCTGACCAACTGGATCACGCATGACACCCGGGAGGATATATGATGACTTTGGGCCGGGCCATGAAATGCATGCGAGACATCAGCAGGGCAGGAGGAAGTGAAACTTGGAGGGCGAGTTTGGCAAAGGGGACCAATGGAAACGTAAAGAGACCGGAGCTCGAGCAGGAGAAATGAGAGCGGCAGCTGAGGAGGCCAGATTCGCAACAGCGTCCGACGAGCGAGCCGGGGAGGGTGACACGAGACGAAGGAAGCAATGCGAGGATTCACACCAGGCGCAGGCTGGTAGAAGCACGTTCGGAGGCGTTTGAGAAGACATGCGGGGGTGTGGTCGCAGGACAAGGCAAGAGATAGCCAGAGGAGCGGGCGAAGTTGGGATCAGAGATGGTGGGAGAGAGGAGGAGAGACTAGAGACCGCGCGAGCCGCTGGCTGCGAGACCTTGGATGTGGACCTCTGGCGACGTGGCCGCTGGATATTTTTCTGTGTAGAGTTCTGGCGGTTGGCAGGGTGGTCTATGTTCAAAAAACGAGCATTGGATGGTTGTTTAGCCGGCGTCCACCGATCCGGCGACCCAGAATTTGCAGGTCGCTGCCTTTCCTACATATGTCCGTTTCATGTAACGCTTAAATACCCCTTTCCTTCCTCCCGCCCAACACCTCGCCCTCCCTCCTAGCCCGCCCTCGCCACCGGTGACGCGCACGATAGGTGCCCCTCGCCACCGTAGCCGACGTTACACCCCCGTCCGGCGTCCACGGAGAAACGGCGCGGAAAATAGACCCGACACCCTTTACTTCAATCTCCACCCCTCTTCATCTCTTACCCTTCCGACCTACCTAACGTCTCCGTATAATAACCCCACGACCGTCCGGTCTTCACACCGCTTTCCCTTCCCATCCCACTCGACATGCCCGGTGAAGTTATCAAGAAGCGCAAGATCGCAGTCCTTGGCTCCCGTTCAGTCGGTACGCGTTTGTTCCGCCGAGCGCCCTTTGTTCCTCACACTCACGAGACCTCCCAGGCAAGTCTTCGCTCGTTATCCAGTTTATTGAGAGTCACTTCGTCGAGTCCTACTATCCCACTATCGAGAGTACGTTCTCGAAGACGATCAACTACAACGGCACGAACTATGATTGTGACATCATAGACACCGCTGGTCAGGTACGCTCGGTTGCTAACTCCCTCATCCTTCCGAGAACACTCACCACAATTCCCCCAGGATGAATACACCATTCTCAACTCCAAACACGCTATCGGAATACACGGCTTTGTGCTCGTGTACTCCGTCGCGTCTCGCAAGTCCTTCGAAATGATCCAGATTGTTTACGACAAGATTGTGAATTTCTGTGGTCTTAACCAAATACCTTGCGTCATCGTCGGCTCGAAGACCGACCTTCTGAACAGGTACGTGGTGGGGCTGATGTGTGTTGTCGGTTGGAGAGAGTCCCCTCAATTTTTGCTCCCTTGATCAGTGCACCTCACCAAAAATCTAGGCAGGTGCAACCCGAAGAGGGCCAGCAGCTCGCGAAGCAGAACCACGCAGCCTGGGTAGAGACGAGTGCGAAGACCAACTCCAACGTTGGTGCGTGTTTTCTACACGTTTCCATATTCCGCTCGAATGACGTTCTGACATGTGTCGTGTGCCTATAGGCAAGGTCTTTGAGCTCTGTCTCGCTGAGATTGAGAAGGCTTCTCCGAATAGCAAGACAGAACCGCCAGCACCCAAGTGCACCATCCAATAACGATTCATAGACACTAGAACATTCTCGCTCTCGCACGCCTGCCATCGACATCTTCATCACCGACCGCTCGCTTTTCAATCTCTGCGTTGCGTCCCCCTTCATATGCTGCATTGGTCGTCTGACCCCCTATGTCATCATTATAATGAGACGCTTGGGCGCTCTCGGGGCCCTGGCTGTCTCAGCATTGCCCACGTCCTCCCCACTCCCGCCATGCTCTCGTCTCTTGGGTTGACTGTTGGCTATAAACTGGACCTTGAATTATTGTTTCTGACTCAATTGCACTCGTACAACGTCTCTGTTTGTTTTCCCATCCCGCTCACACGATCTGTAAAGTCTGTATGATACAACTATCCGTCGCTTAGGTCTCCTTAACGGGGACGTACATACACTCTGTAGCCTACGTGGCGGTACTTAATCTCTGCATTGCTTGGCTGGTAATGACATCTCGCGTCCGCGTCTCGCATCCAATCAGCCTGGCATGACGATAGAAGTCGAGGTTCTCAGCAATTTGAAGAGGAGTAGCTTCTCCATTCCATCACAGCGTACCGCCCACACAAAAATGTTGGCTCCCTCGTAACACGCGATCCATCATCCATTCTTCACAGATGCATTCTTTAATCTGCCTACGGACCGTTCTAGTTCTTCGCGCTGTCGATCTCGATGCCTCCGAGGGAGGCGCCCCCGGCAGGCACCTTCTCAAGCCGTACCATCTCCCAAGAAGCGCGCCTTCACGGTTCTGCCCTTGAGACCCACGGCACTGATCACCTGCGGGTCGCCGGGCACGAGGTCGATGGCTTGGTCTCCCCACTGCACCTCCTCACCCTCAACGTCAAGTACGATGCCCTTGATGGGCCTCTGCGTCGAGAGCTGCACAGACTCGCCGTCCGCGCCGACAGACACTTCGAGCCCCAGATCCTGCACAGCAGGGTAGTGGATGAACTTGAATGGCTCGGGCCTGCGCGCACACGACCCCTGGCGTGAGCATGGGAAAGCGGGAGAAGGCTGGAGAGCAATGACGCACCAGTTGGTGTACCGCGCGAGCACGGCACCAGCCTCATCGAGGAGCCGCGCAGAGACGACGATCGTGCGCGGGGCGTCGCTCAGCTTCGTCCGCGTCGGCTGACCGGGAACTGTGCCCGCCCAAAGCTCGGTCGCGGCGTTCGGCGCGAGGACGACGTCTTGCGTCCAGCGGTCCGTCCAAGCCGAGTGCAGGTCGAACGACGCGACGTCGAGCGTGACCTTCTTCTCTGCGAGCGTGCTGTTTGTGCCCCAGATCTCGAGGCGGCTCTCGATGCTCACGCGGGCGGCGGAGAGCGCGTCGGGGTGCGTCGCGACGTCCTTGCGCGCCATGCCGACCGTGTATGGACGCAGCTCACGCTTGATGGAGAAGTACGCCGGCTTGGGGCGCAGAAAATAGTCCACGATCGCCCAGGACGTCACCGGCCAGCAGTCGTTGATCTGTGTGCGCAGGCGTGAGCCGGGGTGCGGTTGTGCGCGAGGGAGCGGAGACGCACTTGCCACACCAGGGCGCCCGCGGTGTACTCCCTGCCCTTGCCCTTCCAATCACGCCGCCAGAGCCGGTACGCGGATGCCAAGGTTTCAGCCTGCATGATTTGCGTGTAGTACACGTAGCTAGGCACAGCAAATGCGGGGTCAGGCGGCGCACGCAAGAGGCACATTGGGGAACCTAGTGACACACCTCTCTATGTCGAAGGCATGCTTGAAGTTCTCCATGAGGTAAAGCTGGAGATCCGGAGAGTGAGCACAGGTCCCGTGCGAAACTAGAGAAGCCGGCTCAGGGCCGAGAACGCTTACCTCCAATCGACGCTCGAAACCGTCCGCTTTGTTGTGGTTATTCATGGTCCTTCATTTCCGGTATGTTAGTGCATAATGACTACGTAATGGCCACATGGCGGCACGCACCTGGACTGAGGGAATCGCTCCGCCTTGTTGCCACCGAGCCAATAGTCCACGGTGCGGATGTCGGGATAGCCCTGCCTGAACATCGAGAGTTTGGTGAGCGCCGCGGTCACGTTGGGATGCTGCGACGAAGAGCAGGGGACGTACATGCCAAACTCAGACACGAAACGACCGGACAAGATGTCCCATTTGTGCCATGGTTCCTGAGAGCCGTGCCAGACGTTCCCTGCGCCTCACATGCATGAGAACGATCGAGGTCATCGGGTCGTGACTTAACGTACATTGATGTAGGTCTCCGTACGTCCGGTCCGTAGTCGGCTTCCCGAAGCCACTGTAAGGCGAGCTGCGGTGGTAAAAAATATTACTGTACTTTTCGACTACGGAGGGTAGGAGGCGTTCGTAGATGTGCCGTGCGGGGAAAGTAGTGTTTCGGAAATCCGAGTGCTCATCGCTATAATCCAAATCCAGTTTGAAAGACTCCGCGACCTGGTAGTCTGTAAGCACAGTGTGTTAATGACGTGCAACCGGAAGTAAACCGTAAGCAACTTTGCCTTCATTATTGCCAGCTGGAGAAGTCGTGGTTAGCTATGCGCGTGCCGAATGAGCGGATGAACGAACCGAAGATGACAACAGACGGGTGATGTCGCAACCGCTTGACGTTTTGCTCTGCCTCGATCTCGATGGACCTGAGCAGGGAGTCGTATGCGGGGTACTGGACCGCAAGTCCAGGGGTCAAAGCCTCGAACTAGCGCGCGACTGAAGCGACGCACCTGTCCACAGCCGAACATGAAGTCCTGCCAGACCAGTATCCCGAGCTCTAAACCCGAGATTTGTCAGCGAAGTCGCCATCAGACTAGGTAGCGGGTAGACCACACCGTCACAGAGTTCATAGAAGTCATCTGCCTCGTAGATGCCTCCGCCCCACACTCGAATCATATTCTGATTGCCGTCGACGAGCAGCTGCAGCCATGATCGGTACCGTTCGCGTGTCATGCTGCGTGCCAAGCTCAGCGCCGAGAAACGTCCAGCTCGCCAGGGACGCGACGCACGTTGTCAAGAACGAATCAGCAGGGATCCAGTTTGAGCCTCCGCAGAAAACTCTGGTGCCGTTGACCTCGAAGAGGAACGTACGACCTGGCTGGTCAACGAGTTCGTCCTGTACGACTTTGACGTTGCGGAATCCAAACTTCTGCCTCTTGACGTCGAGCACATTGCCTTGCTAAATGTTGAGAATTCAACCGGAGCCCGAGTTGAGGAGAGTTGCGGGCTAACGTACCTCGTCCGAGATTACAATCTCAAGAGTATACAACGGCTGCTGCCCGTAGCCAACGGGGTACCAGAGCTCATAACGATCTTTCTCAAGCGTAAATTGAGACGTGCTAGAACCATCCTTGACTTTGACGTCTGGCGCATCGATTGCCTCGAGCCCATTAGGCTGTAAGACTTTGACTTTCGCTGTGAGAGGCCGCCCAGGACCAACCACAGAGAAGTCAACATCGAGCTTAGCCTGGAAGCCCTCGTCAATGTTAGTGCGAATGTCGATCTCAGCGATACGAGAGACGTAGGTCTCGAGCGAGATCGGCTTCCATGGACCGGCCGTCATCAAAACCGGACCCCAGTCCCAGCCATAGCTGCGATAACACGTCAGACATGCTGGACGTCAGCGCTGATGCGAGAAGGGCGTACTTGTACTGAGCCTTGCGGACATGCAGGCGACTAGAGTCTCCGTTCCAGAGATGAAGCTTCTCGTGCTGCGCCTCAATTTCGCGACCCTGGACGGTTTATATTCGAGCCGTTAGCTGACCACTCAGAAATTGAAGTTGTCTTGGCAGACCTTGCGGAAGGCACTAGCAAAGTCGATGACTAGATCGTTGTCGTTGGCTCTGAGCAAGCTAGCGACAGAGACCCGATGTGCAACAAACTGGTTGTCCGACCTGAGCGGGCGCGTTGGTACAGGTAGATCTATGCGGCAGACGTACTTACTCCAAAATCTTTGTGCCATTCTGACGCGCCGATGTCAGGGCGAGATGCTTCATTAGAAGCAATACACTTACCAAGAGCACCGTCGCGAATGTGTCGAGACCGTCGAATATGAGATCAGCATTCGGCGCAGCGAGCTGCTTTTCGTCGACGGAGAACCTGGTCTTGAACGACCAATCAGCTTCGCCGACCCCTGGACGTCACAGGCTGTTCAGCAATTGACCTGCGCCTGATAGCTGATATGAAGGCGCACACTGCACATCCCATTCATTCAGACCGATAAACTACAGGCCTATCGTGAGCATCAGCCACCTCGAACGTTTGACGAGGGACGTACGGGATCGGGGATTTTGCCCTCCCTCAGCAACTCGACGTGCACAGTCGTCGGGAAATGCTTCACAGCCGTCCACTCGCCTTCTGTGACACCAGTCGTGTCCGTACCGTGCGCGTCAACCAGGCTGTAACTCCAGCCCTCGTCGAGGACGGTCTTGATCAAGCTCGCCATCGTGTGTCTTCCTGCGCCTGAGAGCTCTGTGCTGTGGTTAGAGACGCAGACTAAGTCGGTTTGTGGTCTCGCATGCTGCGCCGTGGGACGCCTCTTATACCCTGGGAGATGGGTTCGCGATACCGAGAGATAATATTGCGGCCAGGTCAGATGTGGCCCAAAGCGGCCGTGAACGGTGCGCGATCCCAGTATGTTTGCCGAAGTTTCGCCGTGTGCTATTTGTCTAGCGCGCAGTCTGCTTCAAGCAGTGGATTCGGCAATGACCATCCTAATATGCAGCTAGCATTCCGTATAGATCTCTAGTACAAGTACGACTCTTTGGTGTTCGAAGCTCAAAGTCCCAAAATCTCGTCGACAACCGCCCCCTCCTTGGCCTCCTTCCACACACCCGTAAACTTCCCACTCCACCTCGCACCCTTCCCCCGCCCTTGACACCCAACCTTGCCTTGAGCGCGTCGCCGATCTCCTTCACACGCCTATCGTCCGACCCGAACACCAGCACGACCGTCGTGCTCGTGCCCGTCTGCGCCGACGGCGACGAGCTGAGGACGACGAGGTGCGCCCGCGCGGCAGCCTCGGAGACGAACGCCGTTGCGACCGCGCCGAGGAATGCGAGCGCGTTCACGCTGTCGTCGACGCGGTGGCGCCGCAGCACGGCCACCGCCGCAGATGCAGACGCGACGCTGGGCGCGAGCATCATCTCCTGCGCGACATGTCCCGCGAGCTCGAGCTCGACGTCTTCCACGCGCTTCACGGCCCGCCGCCGCTCGTCCACGACCTGTTGCACGCGCTCTGGCACCTGCGGCCCGCCACAGCTGAGCGTCGCCGAGGTCGCGGTGAGGAAGTTGTGTGTGGACGTGAGGTGGGTGATGAGTCGCGGACCGGCGAGGAAGTAGAGTCGTGCGGAAGAGGTGGACGTGCCGGAAGTGCCTCGGGAGAGAGAATCGGTGTGGGGGAGGAGGAAGAGCTGCAGGTTGTGCAATGAGGGCGCGTGCGTACCACAGCATCTGTGCAAACAGTAGTGAGGGGTCGTTTCGCTGAATGGCGTTGTGTCTGACTCACGGGTTGCTGTCGATTCCGTCGATGACCACTGTCCTCTTCACACCGCCGGTGTAATCGTCCGGGATAGCCTTTGATGCAGTACGGTAGTTCTTCCCGTCAGCATCTAGCTCTTGCACCTCTACATGGACGCGCCGGCCTTCGAACACGTAGCGATTGCACTCTTCTTGCACGGCCGCGATCTCCTCTGCAGACATTGCTCGGGGAATCTCCACATAGGACGGCGTCGGGTAAGCGGTGAGAGACCAAGAGAGCGTATCGAGCTGGTACCGCCGCTCGAGCACAGCGGACAGGAGATGCTGAGACGTGTGCATGCACATCTGGTGGATGATCCGTGATATGATGCCGAGATGTAGGTGATAACGCACGAGTGACTTACGTGGTCTAGCCTCCGCTGCAGACCAGCATCTCCCAGCTGCACACTAACTTTTGTGCCAGCTGCGAAGGCGTGCAGCGCGTCTTCGATACTTTTTTCGCCGACTTTGACGTAGTGCACGGCATGTCCTCCGGCGCGCTTCACTTCTGCGACTTCCCATGCGTGTCCTTCTGCACTCGTCAAGACTCCAATGTCAGAGGGCTGCCCACCACCTTCTGGGAAGAGAACGGTATCGTGCAGCAAGATCTCGAGAAGAGGGCTTGCTGGTGCTGGTGGTGTACCGGACTTGTCCTTCTTCGCACGCTTGGGCTGCGGAGGTGCTTCAGCAGGGCGAATGCTGACCACTGTGGTGGCCGATTCTCGAAGGAGTGGATCGCCTACGGAGACATTAGCACACGCCAGTACGAGATGAATGGTGTATGTACGTTGGCATGCCAAGAGACCGACGGGAATGGATGTCTGTGGGTCGCTGGGAACGTTCAGCGATGGTGAAATGATCCTGTGGTAGTCTGGAGGTGTCACAGGAGGAAGAACGAGCGCCGAAGCAGCCATTTCCCGTATGTTTATAAGCCAATAAATTAAGAGTAGGCTGTATGGGACCTCTGGTTTCTCCCAAGGACGATGACTCGAGAGCAGAGCGAGCACGAAAAGTTTCAAGGCGGTGAGCGCCGAGCGGAAGAGGCACGCTCGAGTGATTGGCCGATCAAAAGAGAATGATCGCGGCGTTGCGGACCGCTCGGGCCGTATGTTCAACACGCGGGAGCGAAATCAGCTGCTCCCGCCTCCCAGTGGTCGAAACGCCACCTGGAGCTTACGTATTCTAAAACTTATAAGCGTGACATACCCCCCCCTGTTTGCCACGCTAATTCGCGCAATTTGCGTAAGAGCCACTAGCACGCTGATATCTTTCTAAAATATACCAAGTATGCATTTGGAAGACCCCTCCTACGCCTGTAAGCCCCCCCGAGCGATATGCCCCGGGCGCTATCCTCCATCACGGTGATGGCTCCGTTATCTGAGCGTCATCCATCGGCCCCGCCACCAACACCGCCATCCCCTGATGGCACACACGGCGCCATCGCTCCCGCCTGCGTGCTCGCTGTGGGCGACGACGACGACGCTTCCCCCATGTATATACATCATTTTTATACCGTTTTTTCCCTGATTTTAAATGCAGTATATAGTACATGTTACTACTCTTAAAATACAAGCTACTCATTGCTAATAAGCCTAGTAATTGAAGCTCTCGGGCATGTAGGGCGCGTGAGGCTCGGGACTTGGCTCCGGTCTGTTCCCGCCGCGCGCGGTCGGGTGAACGCGGGGCAAGGGTCCAGATGATGACGTGGCCTTGGCGTCCCGCCCATCAGTCCCGCTTACCAGCACCGCCCTCCCCTGATGGCACACCAGGCGCCATCATCCCCGCTCTTATGTTCGCTGCCAGCAATGACGACGACCCTTCCTCCGCGCGAACCGGCTGGCTGGTGCTGGTGGGCCCAGTGACTGAGGCTCGTCAGTGGGGCGCGCTCGAGGCTCGGGCGTTGGGCATGCGGGCGCTCGGCCCCGGTCTATTCCCGTGGCGCGTCTGAAGCGACGACGTCTCTGCACCCGGTGCCATCA